ACGAGATTACTTGGTAAGACGTCGTAGCCCGTTGTATAAACTTATGAACGCATAAAAATGTTGGCAACCTGAATTTAATTTTTATTATTTATAATAAAATTACATGTATGAAAAAAGTAACACAGTCAGTATTAAATTATATTGAACTAGATACCCGTCCAGGCTACGCACGCGTGTACAAGTATTATACATATAAAACTTCCTCTTGAATCACCATCCTACCGCTGAAAACTGCATTAAAATTCATTGCGTAGTTTAAAAGATTTAAGCGAACAGACAGCGAAAGCGACTTCATTTTATACTATACTAGCTACTCGCCCCGGCTTCGCACGGGTGTATACGTGTATTATATATATAAACCTTCCTATTGAATCACTGTATCTGTTAAAAATAACCTCTTCAAAATCCGTTGCGTAGTTTTAAAGATTTAAGCATACATAGGGACGGACAGACAGCGACAGCGACTTTATTTTATATTATATAATGATAAAGATTATGGACTTTGTATAAAAATATATCTGACATAGATTTTTTTTAAATTAGAGTTCGTACATAAATTAGAATATTGGAATAAATAGATTTATTCATATGTATGGTATAGTATGATCATGTTTATATTTTTTGGAATGGGCCAGGAAATGACAATAGAATCCTTCGTTAGCCGTTCCCCATTGTTCCACCATTATATTGATTTTCGCATTTCCTATTCTTACAGGATTCGCTTTGTATTATAGTACGATTTCCAACTATTGCTTAAGTAAAAAACTTATATTGACCATGTCCTAATCATCATTAACTAGTATAAAATAAAGTCGCTGTCGCCGTCTGTCCATTCTTATGTATGCTTAAATCTTTAAAACTACGCAACGGATTTTAAAATTGTTTTTTTAACAGATAGATTGATTCCAGAGAAAGATTTATATAATACACACCCGTGCAAAGCCGGGGTGAGTAGCTAGTAATATTACAAACGTTTATGAGTATGGATGTTTGTTACTATTTCATGCAAAAATTACTGAACGGATTTTGATAAAACTTTGCAGGAATATAGTTCATGCTCAGAATAAACATATGCTATAATTTAAAAAGATTATATGTAAATTGTTGTAATTAATTGTAAATGTTAAGTAAGTGTGATGGAAACGAAGTTGCTCGGGGCAGCTAGTATATAATAATAATCTTATATATAAAATTCTCGTGTCACAGTTTTCGTTCCCATAATCCTCCGAAACGGCTTGACCGCTTCTCATGAAATTTTGTGAGCATATTGAGTAGGTCTGAGAATCGGCCAACATCTATTTTTCATCCCCCCTAAATGTTCGGGGTAGTCCACCCCTAATTTTTTTTTTATTTTAAGGCAACACAACGTTTGCTGGGACAGCTAGTATAATGTAATATGTGTCTCTCAATTAAAGCCTAACATATATTGCTACTAAAACTTGTTAATGTAGGTAGGTCCTTTTCTTAATTAAGTTCAGGTATAGCACTCCACTCACGATTTCGGGAGAAGTCTATACTGAAAACTTTACATTATTTAATTACATAATTCCCAATGTTACCAGTTCTAATTTAAACAAAGTCTCATTCGGTCTGCGTGCTGTATAAGTAATGTATGCTAAATTATCATAACTCTTCAATACGATTATAACAACGTGTTCCGTTGCGTAATTCCCAAATTACTTTAACACGTTAATCGCCACGATAATATCAGAAACTTTTTCACATGGACCATGGTAACTTTATTAGATAATTTAGTTAAAAATGTATCAAAGAAACTTTATGTATCACTAAATTTTTTTTTGCCAATATTCCCGGAAAAACACTATTTTTTTATGTCACACATATATGACTGACATGACCCTATATTTTTTTTCTCGACAAGCCTCTATTAAGCCTTATATCTGACGTTCATTTATTTCATTTATTGTCTGTAGTAAGCCAAGAAATTTTCAGGTTTTGTTTCTGATAAGTTCCTGGCCAAGCTTTCGAAGCATAATGCAAATGAATCGTTTACGTCGGACATCTGTCGTTGCCGTGGCCGTCTACCAAATCGCGTACGTCAGACATATATGTCTGATATGGCTCATGTAGCACTTCTTTAGCGTCAGACACATCATATGTGTCTGACGCTAAGACTAACGCTGACGCTGGCATGATGATTAACATATTAAAAAAATATTTGGTATAACCTAAATTAGTTTCTTTACGTAATATTTACTTGTTTTATTTATTACGAGCTATTATTATTTCGTTCAGTAGTAACGTCTGTCCATACTCACAAACTTTCGCGATGACTAGTAATAAACGCAAAGTTTGTGAGTATGGATGGATGAACTCTTTCACGCAAAAAGTACTGAACAGATTTTGATGAAACTTTACAGTAATATAGCTTATACATTAGAATAACATATAGGCTATAAATGTCACGCAGGTGAAACCGCGGGAACAACTACTATCTAATATAGTAGCAGAAAACAACTAGGTTTCAAAGGAATATGAAATGTTTAAGTCTATATTTAGAATTCTGCACCGTGTTGTGAAAAGAACTATTCATTGTATACATTGTATTCTTCGGTATTGCCTGGATGCTGCAAGATTATGATGTGTATTAAAGAATGCCCTCGCAATATGAAATACTAGGGACGCAACCCTGTGTCGCACTGTTGCAATTATTTTATACCTCTTTTTTTTAAATAAAACCTACGTTCATAGCTGAATATAGCTCTCTAGTATTGTTTTTAATAAATCATATGTTGATTTCTGAATATCCCTAGTAAGTGAAAGTTTTTTTAGTACTGTTAACCTTTAATGGTTTATTTCATAATAATAATATTTCTTTAATAACAAGATGAAGTCTGGGTGTTTTTTATGTATATTATGTATGTACTATATTTACAAAATAATATCTAAATATTTATATCTAGTACCCATAACACAAGCTGTTGAGACTAGATGGCACTATGTAATTCACACAGTCCTGACATATGGTTATTATTTTATATTTTTTGTCAAAAATTGAGCAGGCAGTGCCGCAGGACGCATTTAGTTCAGAGTGAAATATCTGATACATTTTCTAAGTTTATAGCTCATTGAATTCTATTACCTACAATAATTATAATCATCATGTTTGCTTCTTTGTAGGTTTATTATACATACTGATACTTCATTACATGTCTTCAAAGTACATCAAATATAATTGTCTATTCGCATGTCACATTAGTCAAACATTCTTACATTTCTTTTCTCCATTTCATTGGGCATTAAGTATTATTTAGAGACATTCCCTTTGAGTACAGACGCGTGTGTTTATTGATATAGCAATAATTATAATTTGGTATTTATACAGAATTGAAAACAAAACTTATTTAATGTGTAGAATACTAAAATATTCCAGTTATTGTGATTGTAGGTGGGATGTGTAGTAATTTTAACTAGTGGTGGCCCCGGGGTCGAAATTCAATCATAATTAATTCAACATTCAGCAAAACTATAGACAAATCTTTCTCAATTTGACCACAGACTTTAACAATAAACAAAAGGGTATATATTTGTGTATGAGTCAAATACCTGGCAGTATGTGTATTTTTTTTATTGATTGAGTTTTTTTATTCATAAATAAAAGGTAAAAAAGTATATAATAATAATTATTCATTCAGCATAGCATAGTACAGTGTGGAAAATATAAAAAGAATAAAAACCTAATATCGCGCTGTAAACTGCCACTGGTGGTGCCGCCGATTTTCAGTGGAACCACCACTCATAAAAAAATTTGTAGGAATGTAGTTACTTCATTTTTAGATAAAAAAATTATAGAAAACCTGGACGGTAAAATACTTATTGAAAATAGTTAAGTTCGCCTGTTTCAGCTGCCAAACATCTAGTATTGTAAGTTATGATTCGGTTCTGAGATCAAAATTAGACAGTAAAATTACAGGATCAGAGGCATAATATCTTAGTCCCTTGGAATGGCAACGCATGATTGTCACGGTTGTCATGATAACGTGATGTTCGTAGTGCTGTTCATGTATATAGGCCACAGTTAACATTTACCATCAGGTGGGCAGTCAGTTAGCTTGCCATTTCAATTACTTAAAAAAATTCATCTGTCAATTTGTCAGAATCTGACAAATCAGGCCGACAGATCAGGCACCAAATAGTTCTGTACATAAATAGTCTGCTTGTTTGCCCTTCGAATGATGTAATAAAGTTCACCTGTCTATTTGTCAGAATCTGACAAATCGGCCCGACAGATCAGGCACCAAATAGTTCTGTACATAAATAGTCTGCTTCTTTGCCCTTCGAATGATATAACAAAGTTCACCTGTCTATTTGTCAGAGTCTGACAAATCGGCCCGACAGATCAGGCACCAAATAGTTCTGTACATAAATAGTCTGCTTCTTTGCCCTTCGAATGATATAACAAAGTTCACCTGTCTATTTGTCAGAATCTGACAAATCGGCCCGACAGATCAGGCACTAAATTGTTCCGTACATGAACCATATAAGAGATAATATACCTAACAAACCGATAAATCGACCTAACGATAACTGTTATTGTACATAAACCCTATAAGAGAAAAAACAAATAGTATCATTCATAGTACAAAACAAAGTCGCTGTCGCTGTCTGTTCGTCCCCATATATGCTTAAATCTTTGCAACTATGCAACGGATTTTGAAGAGGTTTTTTTTAATAGATAGAGTGTTCAAGAGGAAGGTTTATATATTTTATATATAATACATGTACACCCACGGGTGAAGCCGGGGTGGATAGCTAGTTGTAAATAAATCCTATAAGAGACAATATACTACCTATTAACAAAACCCATAACCTTTTATGTCTGAACACAAGAAATACAAGGCATACAGCCTTATGAAATCATGGTCACTGAGCATTAAACTCCGACTTGATAGTCGAAACAACGATATCTACATACATTGTCTGTCTGATTGCTGAAACCAACGATTCCTATGCTAATTTTATAACTTGTGTTGTTACAGATTACTGTGTTTATCCATCATGGTAAGTACATATATCTTCACGCTTACATTCTTAAACATAAGATATACAGTGTTAATGACTGTAGGTAGATATATCTGGTTAGTCATGAAGGATATACGAGTTAAAATACTCATGAAACTCAATCCCTTTCATCCAGAAATAAATGGAAATTAGATCATACATTTTGAGTTTTAATAATAAATTGATTATATGATAGCTTAGTTTGTATGAAGATTTTATTATATATTAACTAAATTTAATATATATCGTATTAATATTACGAATACGAAAGTTTGTAATTATGGATGTTTGTTACTCTTTCACGCAAAAACTACAATTACTTTACGAAACTTTACAGAAATATATAAGTTACAATCAATCGTGAAACAAAAAAGCTTACCTCAACCGCCACTTTTTTGTGTGTAGTTAGTGGTATGTATTTGTCTTTTGCAGAAGTTCAAATTTTGTTCCGATGGCGACTGCCCATTGTGGGCATTAGCAGCCCTTCATGCACTCAGCAGTCTCCCCTCCCAGCTGTTCAAGACTCTGCTTCAACATGTTATGGAGGAACAGCCGGTAATTTAATATAGTCAAAATTAATATAGATAAAAGTTTCACAAATCTTTGACATACTCTAAAAAAAGATAGAATAAGTGACTACAATTTTTTTTTTATTTACGCATTATTGCACCTGAAGTAAATTACAAAGAATAAACAGATAATAATTAATAAGGTATATACATACAATAACAAAAGGCGGTCTTATCGTGTAAGCAATCTCTTCCAAACAACATTTGGGCAGAGGAGAGAAGACTGAAAATGGTAGATAGCTCAAGAATGGATTACAGAAATAAAAAAAGGCATAGCAATACTAAATAAGAATAATTTACATATAATACTTCCATATATATATACTTCAGTACGTACGTAGATACTTTAGTTACTTTAGTAATGAATACCAAAATAATGACGGACAAACCAGTTGCTCTATTTGAATTAGTGGGGCTATATATTTAAATCAATTTTGTGCATATAACCAGTATTTTTAAACCCAGACAATTCACATAGCGCCATTTTGTCGCAAGCTATACAGAGCTTGTATTTTGGTAGTTCCTAACTAATATGCATACGGGTACTAAGTTTATTTGCTGTATATATATATAAATATATATACATATTATTGTCTGTGTGTTTAAGCGAAATAATCTCAGAAACGGCTTAACGATATTGATGCTGATTTCAATATGCATGCTTTGCATTTTTTCATTAACACTTTTAACAAATTTTGCATATTTTTCACTAAACCTGTTGTGTTTGTTTTATTCTATAATAACTTACTATAAGCTATACCTATGCTACAGATTACTGTTGTTCGAAATACCAAGGGTATAGGAATGGAGTCGCAGATTCAACTAAGTAGTCTTAATATAATTTTGTCATAACTTTACATTGACAGATTACTGGAAATCTAATGAATTAGCAGTTACCTTTAACTAGAAACAATGGAACTCCAAATTCCAACAGGCCCAAACACAAAGGATTTTCATTAATCTTTGCCGATAAGAACATCTTAAAATTTCTGTTGCTGGCAGAAATTAGTGCCCAAGTCTAAAATTGGATATTACGTCAATTCTATAACTATGAAGAGAACATTTTGATATGCCTACAAATTCGATTACACTTAATGGTTTAAAGAGCATACATTGCAATCAAATTTAAATGAATTACAATTTTCTACGCAGTATTATGTGTGGAAGGATATCTTATATATAAACTTCTCGCGTCACTGTTAGTTATCATACTCTTCCGTAATGGCTTGACCGATTTTTATGTTTATTTTTTATAAATACATACATAATATACATAGAATACAACCAGACCTATACAAAAAATCATACTCATGAATACAAATGTTTGCACCATGCGAGATTTGAAATAGCGACCATCAGAAGTAAAGCGGTGTGCTAAACCGCTAGATCACCGAGGCCGTCCGGCCGATTAATAGAAAAACTTGACGTTCATAAGCGTTCAAAATGTCCTATATGAATATATGATATTTGATTTGATTCAATTTGAAAATATTCCCGCTAAAGTACAACTCACAAAGCTGCTAACGATAGAATTCATTAAAACATCATTGTAATTGCGTAAAACCCAACTTGTAAACTTCTTAGAAAATTCATAGATACCAAACCGGGTTTCTAATTCCAGTATTCAATAAGAAGCGGTCTGTAATCGGATAAGCTGATATAATTTTCACCTGGAAGGCGACGTTACGAGCCTTACAATTATTATGTTAACTATCAAAACCGTCCCGGCTTCGCACTGGCCCGATATTTGAGGTTCTTTAATTAAAACTAAGTTATCTTCTAAAGTGTTCGTCGAAATGAATTAATGTATATGATAATTTTCTTCAAAATTCTATTTGTATGTTGTTGTGTTCTGATGTGTGATGTAATAAATATTATTCTATTCTATTCTATTCTAAAATTAAATACTTATAATAAGTTGTATTTGTTGAATGATGTGTGATGTAATAAATGCATTATTTCTAGAAATAATTTGATTCTATAAAAAATTAAATACTTATAATAAGATAGACATATTTATTTGAACTTTTAAAGATATATTATCATTTTTTCGTTCTTTCGTTTGTTGGTTTCTAAAAACATTTTTTTGTAGCCCTTTTATATTATAACTTTCTAACAATGATAGAAAATTGACAGCCTCGGTGGTCTAGTGGTTTAGCACACCGCTTTACTATCCGATGGAAGCGACTAAAACATTTGTATTCATAGTATATTGTTTTTTTGTGTTTTCTATGTATAATATGTATTTATTTACAAAAATAAATGTATCCATGTATTTATATATTATATACACATTTTGCTTAACAATGTGTGTGAATTGTCAAAAAAAAAATTTAATCGGACATTAAAACCGGAGATTACCTCAAACATACAAACTTTAACTCTTTTATATTAGTACTAGCTACTCGCCCCGGCTTCTCCCGGGGATACATGTATTATACATATAAACGTTCCTCTTGAATCACTCTATCGATTAAAACATTCGCTTCAAAATCCGTGGCGTAGTTTTAAAGACTTAAGCAAACATAGGACGGACAGACAGCGACAGCGACTTTGTTTTATATGTAATGATATACACTACGAATTCGACTACGAATTACGAACTCTTTCATTACATTAAAAACCTTACCTACCTCATAATATCCACTAATTATGAGTGTCGTTTAAAAATCATTAGAAAATATATATAGGTTTTTGACTTTATCAATTAATACTATACTTTCTTATAATCTTACTAAAATATAAATGCGTAAGTTTGTGAGTATGGATGGAACAAACATCTAGTTTATTACTCTTTCACGCAAAAACTACTGAACGAATTTTATTAAACTTTCCTGTAATATAGCTTATACAACAGATATACATAGGCTGTAAATTCCATGCAGGCAAAACCACGGGAACAACTAATATTATAATATATAGTTAACTATAAAAATTAATGACACACATATACGTACAATGCCATCTAACCTCAAGTGATGCAGAGCTTATGTTATTTTGTTAATAATGAGGTTGACCTCCACGCGGTTCCCCCAGGTAACCATCGTGATAAATTCCTTGTGAAATTGGTCTAACTATATTGGTATTCTGTAAGCGTTTTTATCAATTCATATCACTAATCGCTACACTCAAGGTACTCGTATCACTTGTCATATATAAAGTATCTATCGAGCTATCGAGTTTGCCTATATTATTAAAAAAGTCACTAGTACCTGCTTTACCTCTGCAGACGCTAACGAGTTTTACATAATATCAATGTCAATCTCACTTTCGGATTCCTCTTTCGAATTTGTAAGTGATGCTTACAGAATAGTACAACTGACCTGACTTTATACTCCACTAGTGCCCCGCCAGCGTAAATCATTAGTGTAGGCGGGTGCACCATTCCATTATCATCAATAAAAAAACTACGTCCGACGCAATACAATTTATTGTTAAACATTCACATTTTTCTACTCATGAGCGGTTTCATCCGCATAAAATTATAACCTACTAGCTTATACCCGCGGCTTCGCTCGGTATATTTTTAATTTTTTCATTTATTAAAATGTCGCCTATTTTTATTCTAATACCTCCAAGAACATGTGTCCAAAATTTCATGATCGGTTCAGTAGTTTTTGCGTGAAAGTATAACAGACATCACTACTTTCACATCTATACCTATAAATATAATTTGAGTGTCTGTTTGTAATATTGAAATAACCGTTTTTTACTACTTGCTAATGTATATAGGGCACATACACCAAAATAACATTTTTTACAATTTTTCTCTGTCTGTTCCGGCTAATCTCTGAAATGGCTGGACCGATTTTGACGGCACTTTTTTGCCAGGTAGCTGATGTAATAAGGAGTAACTTAGGCTACTTCTATTTTAGAAAAATAAAGTTAGCGACTTCGTCCGCGTGGAATTTAAGCTAGTTATATAGCTAGGCTACAGCTAGTTTATAATATTGGTAAGAATGATTGTTTAAAATAATTATGACAAGTTCTGTGTTTGTTTTTCGTAAGCTGACTGTACATATTATTTGTCACGTAGAATAAATATAAAAATGTCACGTTGCCGTGTTACAATTGAATCTATATCTTTTATGCTAACGTTATTCACATATATTTATATGACGTGTGTTTTTGTTTATTGAATAATGCCTCAATAATATGATATTGAGCTACTGAGTTCGAGTTCAGTTGTGGATATTATTGTTGCTGTAGATTTGTTAAGTTAGGTTAGTTAGGTAATCTATTTTTAAACCCCCGACGTAACGGGAGAAAAAAGAGTTTGAAGTGTCTGTGTGTGTGCCATCGTAGCTCCTAAAAAATGGTCTGGTATACGGGTTCCTTTGTCTGAAAACTGGCTGCTGATTGAGATGGTTCTCAGCTACAATTTATGACTTCTATTCAGGCGTTATTAATTTATTTCTAAAGTTTATTCTATCCTTTTACTTATATTATATAATCCGTGTCAATTCACAAGGAACGCATTGTATTTTATTTGCTACTAGCTGTTACCGCAACTTTGCCCGCGTGGAATTTAGCTTTATTTTTTTTAATACAATATTTTTTAAAATAAAAGTAGACTAAGTTACTCCTTATTATATCAGCTACCTGCTACAAAGTCCCGTCAAAATTGATCCAGCCATTTCAGAGATGAGCCGGAACAAACAGACTGACAGACAAAAATTGTAAAAAATGTTATTTTGGTGTATATACCGTATTTATATTCATATGCATGTAGTAAAAAACGGTTATATCAATATTACAAACAGACACTCCAATTTTATTTATATGTAGGTATAGATGGTCCCAAATTGATGTTGTAATGTTGGATGCACTATTGTATTGGGCATATGTCTGTGAAGATAGTGTGTATATAAATTTTATATGTATATTAATATCACTTCTCCCAATATTGTTATCATTGTTACACTTCTGTCCTTCCTACGGTTGTCTTTTTGTAATAATTATGACATATTACCTCTTTGTCTTGTTTATTATTGTGTTTTTTTTTCTTTTTATACGTGATTATGTATGTAACTGTATTTTTTTTTATATTACGTAGGTGGCAAACAAGCATACGGTACACCTGATGGTAAACGGTTAACGTAGCCTATGGACGCCTGAAACACCAGGGGTGTCACTTGTGCGTTGTCGACCCTATAATTTTATTGAGATATTTGTATTTTCTATGAGCGGAACAACAAAGAATTTCAGTCCTTAATTCATTATATTCGCTCGTATTTAGTAAATAGAATTATATTTATATTATATCTAAATATATCCACTGAAACCACGCACTACTCATGTCTTTTGTGATGTTTGATGCCACGTAAAATGTAATGGATATGTGTGTTACGCAGAAGGGCAAATTGAATAAGAGTATAACCTATTAACCTATAATAGCTACGACGCCAAATATATCCAAAGAATTGAACAACTATTTGTAGATCTTTCATACATTTTAATACAATACATTCAATACATGGGTGTTGCATTTGGTATGTTCTTAGCTATGGCTTACTGCAAGCATAATTTGGAACCCTTTCTCTTTACTATTTTTCCATGGCATCCCTGAATTTACTTGAAGAAATTGATAACTCTTTTAAAGTAAAATGCCATACTATACCATTACCGGAAGAATGCACCCGAGTAATTTGTAAATATAATCTGAAAATCTTAAATTTAAACATAAGAAGCCTTCATAAAAATTTTGATAGTTTTTTGGTTGTTTTTAAAAGAATGAATATTGACTTTGATGTCATAGTCCTTACAGAGTGTTGGTTAAATGAAAATTCCACTGTAAACCAAATTAAAGGTTACACGTCTTTCAACTCAAAAAAGTACATAAATAAATCAGGCGGTATAACGGTTTTTGTTAAGGATAAATGGTCATACATTTCCTCGGAACTGGAGGTAGAGGACGCTAATTGTGTTGTGATCGAGGCTCCAAATTGTTTTCAAGTAGTAGCAGCTTACAGGTCTCCAAGTTTCCAAAACCCTAGTCGTTTTATTTATTCCCTTGGCTCAGTTTTGAAAAAACTTACTTACAATCCATTTCTAATCTTTACAGGGGACCTAAACATAGATATATTAAGCCCAGAAACAGATACCAATTATGTTTCCGAATACTTAAATGTACTTGCTGAATTTGGGCTTACATCGAGCATTGATATAGCTACTCGCCAAAAAACTTGTCTGGATCATATTTTTGTACCAATTAAGAGCAGGGCAGAATCTATAGTTTGTTCCTCTGATATAACTGATCATGAAATCACTATGGCAGGAATTACGTTAACGCATCAAAAACAAAATGCTCAGACACGTTCAAGGATTAGAGTAGACTATGAATCGCTGCATTCTGATCTTCATTTGATAAATTGGCATTCTTTGATGAACACAAATGATATTGAGAAGGCAGTATCTCTCTTCTCCTCCACAGTCGTGGATGCTTTATCGAGGCACTCTAAGATTGTGAAAGTTAGTCGCTCCAAATATATAATATATATATATATATATATATTATATATATATATCTAAACATCGTGATAAGTTACACAGCAATTTGCGTAAAGATCCCAACAATAGCGTAAAAAAACTAATTTATTCACGGTACAGAAATTTTTATATTAACTTACTAAGGAAACTTAAAGCTGATTATTATAACAAGTTGATAAGCCAAAATAAGGATGCTCCAAAAAAACTATGGAATACTATTAGGCACATTACTCATAACACTGCAACTGTGCAGGGGGGCAATCAAGCAACTCGTTACCCGAAGAGCTAATTAGGACTAGAAACAATATTAAAGAGTCTCTCAATTATTGTAACACCTGCCTCTCTTCCACAGGTAGTAACCTCGCAAATAAAATTTTGACTAGATTAAATGAAACACAGGACTCAATCGCCAGTAAAGTACACTACACTAATTCACCTAAAAACTCTTTTTTTTATGGAACCTACCGATTCTCATGAAGTGCTGTGTTTAATAAAATCTCTTAAATCAGGAAACACCTCTGGTTTTGATGGTCTGAATAATAGTATTTTGAAGAATATTGGACATCTTATAGCTGAACCGTTAGCCTCAATATTTAATCTGAGTATATCGTCAGGGACTTTCCCGCAGGTCTGGAAAACGGCTGTGGTGATTCCCATATATAAAGCAGGTAGCAAAGACGACCCGACTAACTACCGTCCAATATCACTTTTGCCAGCTTTTTCGAAACTTTTAGAACGCATCATCTATAAGCGGATATTTTAGGTATGTATATCAATCATTACAGTAGTTAACCGCTACATAAATAAAGAAAGAAGAAATTCCTCAATCAAAACAGCCTTCTAAATGACAAACAGTTTGGATTTCGTCAGGGAAAGTCCACTGAAGATGCTGTAATCATTCTAATGGATGCTGTTGTTGATCACCTCGATGAGGGTAGGTGTTGCATAGGTGTTTTTCTGGACCTTGCTAAGGCATTTGACACTGTTTCTACACCTATACTCCTCAAAAAGCTGGAGTGTGTTGGAATACGTGGCTTGCCACTAAACTGGTTTGAGAGTTATTTGTCGCATAGAAATCAATGTATCAAGATTGGTGATCATATAAGTGATCCTATACATGTATCTTTTGGGGTTCCCCAAGGGAGCATTCTGGGTCCAATCTTATTTACTATATATATTAATGATCTTCTAAATCTCCCGCTCTCCGCAATCTGTTACGCAGATGATACTGCTCTCATATTCCATGGCCCAACTTGGCAGGAAACGCAGTACATGGCTGAATGTGGTCTTCGACAAGTGTCTGAGTGGCTGGACTATATTGGCGGTGCACTACATAAATGTATATGTAAATATATAATCTCCTAACATTAAACGCGTCTAAGACCCAGTATTTGTGTTTCCATAAAACAGCTGTATCTCGCCCACCTTCAAGTAAGTTCAATATTAAAATACACAAAAACTGTCTATCGCCTAATGGTACATCCAACGCTTACTGTAATTGTGACATTATCAACAGGGTGGTCTCGCTGAGGTATCTTGGAATTGAACTGGACGAAAATTTAAATTTCAAGAAACATATATCAATTACCGCAAAAAGAGTTAGAAAATTAATGTACACAATGAAATTATTGAGAGTCATTTCAGACAACATATATACTCTGAAATTGGTATACTTAGCGTTATGTCAGTCTTTAATAAATTATTGTCTACTAGCCTGGGGAGGTATTACGAAGTCCAATTTAATTCCCTTAGAAAGAGCTCAACGAGCTGTTCTGAAGGTTTCTCTAAAAAAACCGCGACTATTCGACACGATGCAATTGTATAAAGAGGCTGAGGTCCTGAGCGTGCGCAAATTGTTTGTAATGCGAGTTACTGTATACATGCACAAATATGTGAAGAGTCTACCAACATACAAAGATATATTAAAGAAGAGAATCTATAAAGCTCCTGTGTCTAAGGCTAAAACATCATTTGCTCAACGTCACAAAAAAATTCTCTTTCCACACATATACAATCAAATTTGCAAACTAATTGATATAAAACACTCTCAATTATCAGGTTTAAAAACACTCCTCAACAGTATACTGATGTCCTGGACATATGAGGACACTGAGAAAATACTAAAACCCGTAATATAAATTTAGACAATTCTGAAATATTCTAATGATTCTATATGAATTTACAACACTTCCAAATAACATTCTTACTCACTCACACACACACACACACACACACACTCACACGTACACACATACACACACACACTCGCCGACTAACAAATACATATCTGTAATTTTTATTATTGTATTCTTTGTTTATTTTATTTTATTTTTTGTCATATATTACTAGTATTAATATTATATAAACACTAAATTTTTATATGCACTCTGATCGCCGTACCTATGTAACGTTAACTGTCAAACCTGCTTTGATTTCCACGATACAGGCATTGCCTAGTGTGGGGTCATAGTTACAATGTTATTTAAGTTATATTTTATGAAATAAATGTTATTCTATTCTATTCTAAAAAAAAAATACATATTGCACACAAAGTGATATAAAATGGATATGCTTTGCAAACATATGCAGTCACAACACTCACTCAGTATCTACAGGATTTTATAACCTAGACCACTTTGATCACGCTCTAAAAGCATATATAAATGTAAAGATGTTCTGTATCTTTTTTTTGCTTTCTTTAACTTTCTAACACAAAAATATTATTTTTGTGACTATTTAAGTAGTTTTTCTGCAACCAAGTTTTAATGCAAATCAATGTAATGCAATGCTACGAGTATATACAATTATTATTTTCTTTTCTTTTTGATTTCAGGACGATGGCATCATGGAAATATTAAAAGACACTAATCTGTGTAAGTGATAATACAATTTTTTTTGTACTACTTTTGAAGGTAGCAAACAAGCGTGCTGTTCATAATTCTAATACTTTATTGACTGATGCATTTAAGTCCTGCTCAGACGAGAAACAGTCCTCGGAGATTGTATGTCTTGAAGAGGCCCATTCTGCGCAGATTTATGAAACAGGTTAAGAAGGATGACTTCTTTGTCCTTTGGAAAGACAACGAATAAGTGGTACCACAGGTGTCACATGATAACATGACGTCCATATTGCTGTTCATGTATATCAGCGCTGATTTCCACTTGCCATAAGGTTGACCGTCAGCTTGTTTGACATTCCATTTCAAAAAAATGAAAGCCAATTTGTCTAAGAGTTAAATCCTTTGTGCTTATATAATACCTAAATAGTTATATAAAAAAATATCTACAAAAAAGTTAAACGGTATTATTAGTATATGTGCGGTTTTTTGTATATATCCGATATTTACTTATAAAAAATATTATTGTATATATCTTACTTATAAAAAAAAAAAAAAAATATTAGTAAGTATAATCACTAATAAGCCGACACAGACGGCTCTTCTATATATCGGATATATACAAAAAATTATATTATACTTATATTATATTATACTTATAAAAAAAAAAGGTAAGAGAAATCCATAGATTATTTTTTTACAGCGTCTCGAGAAGAATGCGCTCGTGCCGCTGCCGTGATTCGGTGGGTGGTGCAGCAAACTCTGTCATGCTCCTGTCCAGGGGCGCAGTTGACACGCGATCTGCTCGTCATGGGAGTGCCCCGAGCGCATGCTGCTGCTCTGGCTGATGCTGCAGAAGCGCAGAGAGAAGCGTACCAAGCACAAGTTCGCAGTAATGGATTTATGGGTATGAGTGCGTCAATCAATCAACTACTTCATTTGCTGTATATATATAATATATACACGGGTGGCAAGTAAATTTAACAGTTTGTTTGTATATTCTGTACATAAGTAGTAAATTTGAATTTTATACAATAAATAAAAAACTCATACACTTTCGAGGTTATGGTATTAAGTAAGACAATACTATTAGTGAAGATTTTTATTGGCAGAAAAAATATGAGAATTAAACATATAAATGATGTACAATAAACTACAATAACTACTTGTACTTACTAACTTGCATTAAACATTTTCATTATGAAGTTGGTGTTAAATAGTAATTTTTTTTTCAGTGAACAAACTAACTGACGTATCGTTAGCTGCTGGACCGGAAGGCACAGTGGACACATACAAATTGTCACTGTACACAGATGATGCATTCACTGGTGAACAAACCAAGAGAGAAGTTCTCATAGAGAAGTCTCAAGCAAAGACACTGCTCGACGAATTGAAGAAAGCGTATAAGAAAATGGAAGAACTTGATGTTGAATAAATATTCATTATTAGCAATATCCGCTGTTTCACTCTCGTGAAATTTGTAAACTGTATATTCTGATGTATAAGCTATATTATTGTAAAGTTTCATTAAAATGCATTCAGTAGTTTTTGCGTGAGAGTGACCAACATCCATCCATCCACTCACAAACTTCCGTATTTATAATATTAGTACGATAACATATGTATATATATAAAATTTATAAGCTACGTGTTATACTAATATAACTTATTAATAGTATATATGGGAAAGTTTGTGAGTATTGATGGATGTTTGTTACACTTTCACGCAAAACACTCAATGGTTTTTGTTTTAACTTTACAGTGATATAGCTTATACATCAGAATAACACAAAGGCCGTAAATTGCATGCGGGTGAAATGCGGGCACAGCTTGTATACTATAATTGTAAAGTTTCATTAAAAAAATTACGAGGAAGATTGATCTATCCACACTCACAAACTTCCGCATTTATATTAATACAATTAGATATAACAAATGTACCATATAATAAATTAAGTGATGTAAGTTATAATTTTGACGTATTATTTAATGTTTTTTTTTAATTAGCATGACAAACAAGCTAACAGCCCACCTGGTGGTAAGCGGTAACCGTCAGCTTTATACATGAACAGCACTACGGTCATCACGTTATCATGTAACACCCGTGATACCACTCATGCGTTGCTATTCTAGAATACTAAGATGTTATGCCTCTGTAATTTCTTTTTGTGTATGTAGATCTAACAACTAATTTCACTGCCTAATTGCACCCTACAACCAAAACTTTCTTTCTTGTAAATAGATAATATACATAAAATCCCAGACCAATGCAAACAAACATACAAAAGAATACAAGTGTTAGTATCGTGAGAATATTAGAACCCGCAGCCATCAAGAGTCGGTGAAAAAACCAAAAAACAAAAAAAAAAGCGCGGGAGATTTTCGCGCCCAATCATCATTCATTTCAGCTAACGAAAATTTCATTTCCTTAAATAAACTATAGATAACTTAGCATGTACCTAATAAATAAAATCAATCATATCATAATCATAATTTATTATTAACAGTCTTTTTTACAAGAATAAAGTTTCATTTGATTATTGATTTTATATTATCATCAGAAAAATATAACATGGCAACATTACAATCTAATTATACAGGCAGCTTCATAAATGTAGTGGACGAGTGGACGAAAATAAGTTTGTATGAATCTTTAAAAATAAATATTGATAATAATAATAATAATTTCAACCTTTATTCATTAGTTACCAAATTATTGTAAATAACTAACCAATTATATACTTCCTAACCTTATAGAAACACTTTTAAGGCACTAGGCCTTCAAAATTGGAACAGCCTTTGCAAAACTATTCAATTCTTTTACTACTCTAAAATAGTTTTGACCGTTAAAGCCGCTATATTTATGAAGCTAAACTGTACATACCTACATTAACATCAGAGATAAACTATTTCCTACTACTTAAAACAATTAACAATGAGAACATTTGAACACTTCCAAAGCTACTGGAGAAACATCCGCGTTGAACAGTGGATTAACATTTAATAGCTGTCTTTACATGACACGTTCTTTCACGGGCGATCAGGAGAGCGCGGGAAATCTACGCGCGCAATCATGAGTGATGGCATTTAACACGTAGCAGAACCTATCAGGAGCGCGCGGGAAATCTAACGCGCGCAATCATGAGTGATGGCATTTAACACGTAGCAGAACCTATCAGGAGCGCGCGGGAAATCTAACGCGCGCAATCATGAGTGATGGCATTTAACACGTAGCAGAACCTATCAGGAGCGCGCGGGAAATCTAACGCGCGCAATCATGAGTGATGGCATTTAACACGTAGCAGAACCTATCAGGAGCGCGCGGGAAATTTAACGCGCGCAATCATGAGTGATGGCATTTAACACGTAGCAGAACCTATCAGGAGCGCGCGGGAAATTTAACGCGCGCAATCATGAGTGATTGCATTTAACACGTAGCAGAACCTATCAGGAGCGCGCGGGAAATCTAACGCGCGCAATCATGAGTGAAGGCATTTAACACGTAGCAGAACCTATCAGGAGCGCGCGGGAAATCTAACGCGCGCAATCATGAGTGATGGCATTTAATACGTTGCAGAACCTAACAGGAGCGCACGGGAAATCTAACGCGCGCAATCATGAGTGATGGCATTTAACACGTAGCAGAACCTATCAGGAGCGCGCGGGAAATTTAACGCGCGCAATCATGAGTGATGGCATTTAATACGTTGCAGAACCTAACAGGAGCGCACGGGAAATCTAACGCGCGCAATCATGAGTGATGGCATTTAACACGTAGCAGAACCTATCAGGAGCGCGCGGGAAATCTAACGCGCGCAATCATGAGTGATGGCATTTAACACGTAGCAGAACCTATCAGGAGCGCGCGGGAAATTTAACGCGCGCAATCATGAGTGATGGCATTTAACACGTAGCAGAACCTATCAGGAGCGCGCGGGAAATCTAACGCGCGCAATCATGAGTGATGGCATTTAACACGTAGCAGAACCTATCAGGAGCGCGCGGGAAATTTAACGCGCGCAATCATGAGTGATGGCATTTAACACGTTCCAGAACCTATCAGGAGCGCGCGGGAAATCTAACGCGCGCAATCATGAGTGATGGCATTTAACTCGTTGAAGAACCGATCAGGAGCGCGCGGGAAATCTAACTTACTTTTAAATATTTTTTTATTATTGCCGTTGCATGACAGCTTCTTTGATTTACGCGGGAAAGCTAATGCGCGCAATCGTATCTTATTGAATTTAACTATTTTTTATGTACACTCTTGATTTATGTAAATTGACTTCTTTTTAAAATTTCTTTTTCTATTCCACAGATTTTCCAAAGACAAAATATCAATAACTTAAATTATCAATAACTTTACAATTGTCTTTGCTCCATAGTCAGATGTCCGACATTTTGGAAAGATAATATTTTTTTAAATTAACATTGCAAAATGGCGGTTAGCATATTGCAAATACGATTGAAAGACACGGGAATGCACGAGCTGCCGGACCGCGCTGTCTTTCTCGTTCTCTTTGTACTACATTCACAAGCATATTTTTTTCTGTGTGAAACGCGATTTGCGTATGAAAGAGCGTACGTGTAAAGGCAGCTAATGTCTACTTTTATCTATTAGATAGCGAATATTAACTTACACTTAGTTGATAGCAAATATTAATATTCTATATCCGATCCACGAATATTAACATTGACTGTAAACCGCATATATTCACATCGCTTAACTGACCACAAGTATCATTAAAGGGATAATGTTTATTAAACTATTTAATTTAAATTAGATCTAATAATTATACCTTCTAATAAATTAAATTCTAATTAATTAAATTAGATCTAATTTAATTTATATCGTTATTACTTCAATATTGTACAGAAATTTATGAAAACATTATGTATAACGTTATCGTTTAAGTACTCGCAACATGAAAAATGAGCTCTACATTTCCATAAGAATGGCAAACAAATGGTCTATATTTTTTTTCGTGAAAACATAATATACATAAAAAATACCCAGACTAATGTAAAGAATCATTCTAATGAATACAAATATTTGTACCGTGCGGGGAATCGAAGCCGCTGTCAACGGAATTAAAGCCGTGTACTAAACCGCTAGACCACCGAGGCCGTCAATAATTACAATTATTTATCTCTTAACTTTCCTAACATTTTACTTATATCCTGACTACCAGCAGAATTTGGTTTTTTTAACTTATGTTTAGCCGACAGCTTTGGTATACGAGTTTTGATTTGCTGCTTTGTGGGTACCGGCATTAAGTCTAATTTAGAATGTCCGCCGAGCCCGTCGTATGAGACATTCAATTGAGCATCTTTGAAATCTATTTTATCGTTATTAAAATCCATTTTAGGAGGTTCCTTCTTATGGAAGATACTAAGGTTATTCGCAGAGACATTCTCCAGACCTTTCTTCATGACAGCATTCCGGGCGGAGTTCAGTAGCGCGAATTCTGATGGCTGAAAAAAAAACGCATTTATTATAGGATGTACTCTAAAGATAACCTTTGCCGCGTAAATTTTATTACCATTCGGAGATAATTAGGATTGGTATGTTATGGAGAGTAATAATAAAAATATCCCTGGAGAATTTACACAGCGTTACAGACACAATTAAGTATGATGCATAAATAATTTTTTTTTGTAATTACATATATAATATACATAGAAAATACAAACATCAACATACAAAAGCTTGTACGTGTGAGGAATCGAACCCGCAATAACAGCAATCATAGTAAAGCGGTGTACTAAACCGATAGACCACCAAGGCCGATTATATCACTAACAAACACATTTTTATTCATCAATTTCCCAGCCGTAACCACAGAACAAAAAAAGTAATCTTTGTTCTGTGGTCGTAACAATATTGATTCTATACTATATAACAATAAGATGGACTTAAGTGAGTGAAAGTAGCAAAGTTAAATGCGAGCTTAAGTATAACTTATAATAGTGGAAATTCAAATAGCTAACAAAAACTAATAGGAATCGTACAATATAATTTACCTTAAGTTTGTTATCAGGCACCATCTGCGAGGGCCGCTGCTGAAGAGCTGTTAAGGCGAGGCTGCTTTGCCTCAGGCTCAGGTAAGGAGAGTCTGCATTCTCTATCTTGTTCACCATAGTGTTCTAATTTCAAATACAATAATGTTGTTATTTTTTTTTAAATGGCAGGCAAAGTGATAATTTTATAAATAATATATATTCTTAGAGGGAGTAAATACTATATTTAGCGAGTCTTAAGTTGTATATAATAATTTAAACATGTTATAAAAGAAAGTTCTCCACCGTGTTTGCTGAGAAACAATTACGGAATTGTTTTTTTACAGAGTTTATATGTATACTAGCTTTTACCCGCGGAATCGCTCGTGATAATTTATCCCCTTAAGGATGGAATTTATCAAAATCCTTTCTATGGGGATGCCTACGTCATAGTAGCTCATAGTACGTCATAGTATTCATGCAAAATCTCAGCCCAATCGGTTTAAAATTGACAAAGTTTCATACAAACTTTCATCTCCTATTTTATCCACTTAGGGATAGAAATAATCAAAATCCTTTCTTAGCGGATGCCTACGTCATAACATCTACCTGCATGCCAAATTTCAACCCGATCTGTCCAGTGGTTTGGGCTGTGCGTTGATAGATCACTATGTCAGTCACTTTTGAGTTATATATATTTAGATAAACTACAAGTTTTTTAGAGACAACTAACTGTTACTCGGGACTCTGCTAATGCTTTTTGAACAACACACACACATTCGTTCATTTATGAAAATAATGTCAGTACGAATTTAAGTACGAGAAATACATACAAAACTATTATTATTTTCTGGAACAATGATAGCTTCATTCAATTGGTCAGATTGTTCTGAATATTTCAGTTGCTTCACACCCGACTCTGCCTCCTCGATGAGCGACTTGTCCTTCAGTACTGACGCTTTCCTCTTATTCTTTAACGTTTGGTATTTCCGTTCTGTGTGAGCTAGTTTTTCTTCTAATTGTCTGGAAATAAAAATAAGTACATACAGTTTTTAATTTCACGCGGTCATTATTTATACGTACAATGAGGAAATTCAAATTCAAATATTTATTTTGTAATTAGGCCCTTACATGCACTTTTACAAGCCAATATAAAACAAAAATAAATTATATCTTTACAATTTTTAAGAAGAAATAAAATATCGGGAATTTAATAGAAATTAATAAAACATGGCATGAATAAAACAAACAAACACACGCACGCACACGCACACGCACACCCACACACACATAATTATAGAATTACGTGACTGTAATGTCATTCATTTTATCATACAAAACATGTATATTATACAAATATATATACTGTTTTGTGTAAACTGGCCTTTAAAAGAGCAGAATCTGAAGATCACATGACTAGATATATAAAGTAACCTGTTTTCCAACAAATAGATAAGACAAAAATTCCTATGCAAACTACTCAGAGTGCTCTTGAGCTAAGAAGAACTAACAGGAACTCAGCTCTAATACTTTTCAGATAAGTTTCTACATGTTTACAAAAATACAGATTCATTTTTAAATTCAAATTAGGGAGAATAGACTGACCACCAGCATATTGTATTACAATATTTCCAAATGGAAATAGTGTAAAAAATATATCTCGAAATTAGTACTTACACTGTTTTCGTCTGTAGGCTTGTAGTCTTGGATGTTTCGAGAGCAAACATGTGCTTAGCGATCTGCAATTTTTCTCTAATCTCATTCTTCTTTGATTCAGATTCACATAAAGCTCTGAAACATATTTATTTACACATTATAATAACATATAAAAGACTTAAAATATATTAAAAGTAGCTACTCGCCCCGGCATAAGCATACATGGGACAGACAGACAGCGACAGCGACTTTGTTTTATAACATAGTATAAATGATAATGATAATGAAATTATTAATAAAAGTAAAAAAGGCGATCTAATCGCTAATGCTTCCACTACCTTTGGAAAAAGACTAATCACATAAAATATGGTATTTATTTACTCATTTCAAGGCCATTGGGGAACATGGATCCGTGATAATAGAAACTAGTGGCCCCATTGCTCACAATATACCAGGTAGACCTCCAAGAGGTGGTCTAGTAAACCACAGTGATTAACAGCCAGCGAATTCGCCACTCTTCTGATCTAACTGACCTGACTTTATGTATCTCCTATCATCCTTCACTGGTGCCACGCCAGCGTATACCATTAGCGCAGCCGGGTGTACCATATTCATTATTCAATAATTCATTAAAAAATCCACTAACGTTAAAAATGCTCTAGTAGTACCTAGTAATAGCTAACTTGTATGTGTACATAATAATTGTTTGGCTGAAAGGGAATTTCCAGAGCCGTAATACTGCTTAATAAAAAGTACCTAACTGCTACGCCTTAAATACACTAGAACTATAGAGAAGTATTACCGTGTATGTGTACAAGTATTACGGTGTATGTATATAGGTAATTGATTGGCTTTTAGGGCCGTAAAACTGTTTAATAATAAAAAAACGGTATGCCATAAAGGACCTAGACCTAGGACGTAATTAGTATATAATTGATTGGCTAAAAGGAAAGTTTCAGGGCCGTAAAACTGTTTAATAATAAAAAAACGCTATGCCATAAAGGACCTAGAACTATAGACAAGTATTACCTTTTAAGTGCCGTCGCAAACGTAGCGATTGTTCGTACGTCTGTATATCCTTGTAACATTTCTTCCACCTCCTCATTTGTGGCATTTAACACTTTCTGCAAACTAAAACATAATATTTGATTACATCATAAATCATTGATTGATACTTAAAATCCATCATCTAATATCATCCAGAGTAACTAATTTTTTTATTGTTGAGGGTTTTGGATTATTATTAGGTAATCATGAAGGAAAAATTCACTATTTGTCAAGATGTAAGGCTAACTGTCCTAACCGAGCATGACAGCGAGATGAGCATGACATCTTATCATCCTCCATTAGTGCCCCGCCAGGGTATATGGTTAGCGTAAGCGAATGCACCAATCAATGAAAAAAATGTGCACCAATCATTTTAATCATCAATGAAAAAAATATATATTTATGAAGTTCAAACACAATAATATTCATTCTAAACTAGCACACACAAGCGTACATGCGACTTCGTCCGCGTGGAATGTAACTTTATTTTCTAAAATAAAGGTAACCTAAGTTACTCCTTATTACATCAGCTAACTGCCAAAAAAAGTACCGTTAAAATCGGTCCAGCCATTTCAGAGATTAGTCGGAACAATCGCACAGACAGACAGACAAAAATTGTAAAAAATGTTATTTTGGTGTATGTATCGTATTTATATTCATATGTATGTAGTAAAAAACGGTTATTTCAACATTACAAACAGACACTCCAATTTTATTTATATGTATAGATAAATGGTGATACTAGTGAGGGTATATTAGTGAAATAAAAAATATTTTACCCATTTAAAGTTTGCATATTTTTCTTGAGAGATTCATTTTCGTCTTTCAAGCGTTGTGTCTCCTTATTTTGAATCTTCACATATTCCAATTGTTCTTTCAATGCTGACACGGCCGAGTCGCGGCTTATGAGTTTTTTCTCACAAGCTGTTAGAAGATCTCTGTACAGGAAGAGAGTTTATAAATATTATCCTAATTTCATATTCTCTGTTAATTTTATAATCTGTATATATTTAGTGATGTCTAATCAAACAGAATTAATCTGTCATTATTTGTGAAAACCTATCAGTGGCTTAGTATGTTTTTTATATTGATTGAATATGTGTATAGTCAGCCTTGGTTTTCCTTTAATAAATAAATAAATATTTGCAAGCTCTTACAGTGCAAATATGTAGGTCCCATACCTACATATTTAATACATTATACTATACTGTCTATATGTAGAATAGGAACACCACACATGAGCTCACTTAAAAAAATATGTAGCTCTCTGTGCATGAGATATTTAAGAAAAATAAGGATGGAAAATAGTGGAGGAGGAACAGGGGACTGGTGTGACAATGGAAATATGTAAATGTGTCAATATACATTCTCTTTAGTAAATAAAGGATTGAAATTACAACTGTTTTTTTGCAATTAGAATAGCAAAAATGCTGTCAGCACCCAGACATGCAAATGTATACTATCACTAAGAAGATACAAATAAAGAACTTTCACAGAATATACAAATAACATACATATTCTTTTTCAAGTCAACAGTTAGAGCTGCCAGTTTGTCCTCCTTCTCTTTACGAGCGGCCTTCTGTTGTCGAAGCTGCAGAAGTGCATCATCAAGCCTTGAGTTTAAAGTAGCCACATCATCACCAGTATTCTCGTTTGAGATTGTGGGGTATATTCGGAACATGCACCTGTCTGTTACCTTGTGACGACATTGTGGGCAGGACTTGGATCTGAAATTTATTTTTATGGATTTAAGCACAAACTATTTAAGCTACTAGTGACTCGAGATCTAGTAGCTCGTTCAGAAATTAAATATGACTATTGAAAGAAGTAACACTACCATCCATCATCTTAGGTACATTATCTCAATATGCAGCTTGGTCTACAATGTTTGTTTTTATTTGTAAATGAAATGTAATTATATGTGCCTTTATTTACATTGACAATAATAAATTACACAAATTCTCAATCTTATTTATGAAAGTGCTTCGATATGTTATATAGTGATACAATTTTTTTGTTAAAATACAATAGTGTATATTTTGAAACACCTTTTCAGCTGCAAGCAACTTGCTTTTTAAGAGTGTTCTGACTAATAAGATATGGCAGTAAAATTACAGAATATGAAGTGCTGTCTTTGTTGTCACATCATAAAGTGGTTCTGTGGTGTGGTTCTAGTTACATCTAAACCTTGACAATGTGATGGCATCAAAGCATTTGCTTCCTGCCTCTCTACCTCTACCTCAATGGCAGGTACATATGAAGTTTTTTTGGACATACATATATACAATACATATTTAATTTTTGTAAATTGATTGCCATAAACTCACCTTTCTAGCCATTGTGCTAAGCATTGGTAGTGAAATAAATGTCCACATTTCGTCCCATAAATATTCTCTGCTTGGTTTACTAGATCACTACATATAGTACAAACAATATGCATCTGTAAACAAAATTGTGTTATGTTTACAATAATAAGATAGTCTGCACAGGAGTTCAGCAATATAATATATTTTAAAAATAAATTATGGGCATGTACAATGGTGAATCAAAACTGAAACAATAAAATATTTAACTTACCCTCACAGTAACTTGTTTATTATAATAAGTTATGTGATAGATTGCTGTAACATTAATTTAATTGATTCTTATTTTTTTGGTGAACTGCACAAATTTGTACAATAAACATTTATATTCAGTTACAAAGGTTGTCAATTATATTTGATATGATTAATACGGGTTCTATTCATAACATAAATATTGATTATACTAATTAAAGTATTTAAATTTTTGAATAGGTGAATTTTTTTATTTCAAAACATAGATTTGTAATGCTTGCAATTGATAGATATAACTCTATAATGTCGACACAGATTAAAAAACTTTGTGTTACAACGTTTGGGTTACAACGAACTCAACTCTATAAAGATGGACCATTGTATTTGAATGTTAATATGCAAAGAAGTATAAGAATGTATATATTGGAAATTATTATATCTTACAAATGTCGTTTCTCTTCAGGTATTTATGATTTCAAAATGCATTTAGGTGTTTTAGATGGTAAACGGTCGTCTGACTATATAATATTATCTTATCTGTGATTTGACAAAGGGCGTATGAAGCTACTGTCAAAAGTCAAAATATGTCAAAGTGTCAGCGACTTGTCGTGAATGTCGATTGTCGTGATAAAAAATAAATAAACTTTACCGCTCGACCCGTCCTCATCTCGAAACTATGAGACACGTTATATATTTATTAAAGCGCACTTTTGTCTATTAATAAACCATACCTATTAGTTTTAGAACATCTTTCGTGTGTAGTGCCGGGTAACGATTTTAGTGAAAACGTTTAATTTGCATGGAATATGCGCTGCGAAATCAAATTCTTTAATAGTTTGCATTCTTCTTATTTAAAAGATGATAATATTTAAATGCAGTTGTACTCATGTATTCTCGTTTATCAATAATTAGATGACCACATCTGAAGAATTTTCAATTGTGACATTCAACAAAAGATAACATATAATTTACTGATTAGATCTTTTAAGTGTTAATCTCGTCATGAAGAAGTGATAATCATTTGGACAATATAGTGTTAAAATTTTCTGTATATCCATATTTTGAATGTATATCTATAATTTGTAGTGAATTCAGTGTAAAATGCCTGGGAAAATAAAGGTGAAAGTTTTGGCGGGCCGGAATTTGCCTGTGATGGACCGAGCTAGTGATACAACGGATGCTTTTGTTGAAATCAAGTTCGGGAGTGTAACACATAAAACGGATGTTTGCAGAAAGTCTTTGAATCCACACTGGAATAGCACAGAATGGTATAGGTTTGAGGTAACGTTAATTCAATTTATTAATTTATCCTTTACTGTTATTGGCTGGAGGAATGGGATTTTTAGTAATAGATATTGAAGATCTAGTTGCTAGCAATCTTTATTATACCATGTCAGGTAGACATCCACATTGTCCCCATGGAAATGGTTGTAGTAGTAATTTGTAGTGAATTTGTAATGATTAATCTAACTGACTAATCAATGGGATTAAGTTATTAGTAGTAGGACCATATTAATGACCTGGTTATCTTGATTTTTTTTTATACTATTATGGTGGCAAACAAGTATATAACATGTTAAACAGTTCATATCCAAACCATATCTTCTATTACTGCCTCACCAGCATGTGTTAGTGCAGGCGGGTGCTTTTTCTATTTTCATCCATTAAGTAATTAAAATTTTTTGCATGTGTTCTAAAAACATAAAACAATAAAAAAAAGCCCCTGCACAATATGGACATTATTGTTCGCCACCGTCTAATGAGTGAAACAACCACTGCATGCAACAAGTAAACAAAAGGAGCTCCTTAAATATTTAAATAAACTATGTTTGTGCCATGAGTGTGGTGTAGTTTGATTTAAAAACTCAAGTGATGCAAGTCGCCGATGCAGTTCACCTATAACTATATTTTTGTGTAATTTTAGGTGAGTCGAGGAGAAGGAAGGAAGGATCCTTCTCCATCGATCAGTGCAGTGTGGCTAAAAATATTGCTTTATTTGCAATGTCATCTGATTTGTTTGAAATGTATTGTTGTTTCTTAATATTGCTGATCTCTAAAGTAGAATAGTTCTTTTTGACATATAAATAAACAATGACTTGACCACCATAACCCAATATATAATATTAAGAAGAAAGTAAACTATAAAAGTTATTATAAATACTATATATATAAAAAAGTAAAAATAAATATTTTTTATGGAAAAAAATGTAATGGTACATCTACCTCCGCTAATGGTATATGCTGGCAGGACACCAATGGCGGTTAATAAGATCTGCATAAATTTACCAGGAATTTATCAAGATGGTTTCCAGGGGAACCGCATGGAGATGATGATCTATAGTATGTTGTTTATTTAAGTTCATGTAAAGTTGAAATTATGTCTAGGAGCTGCCTACCTTTAATGTTGTTCTGGTCTGTTTTTTTTACATATAGATGGAAGAAAGCGGAATTGGTATAACTTGAAAAACCCAACTTTACACCAGAGCCAAAAAACTGTTTCAAAAATTTAAACTCATATATATCAAATTGTATAAAACTAATTTTCAATGTTCTATCTCAATTAATATATATAAGTTATTTGAAGTAAAAGTACTTTTGTAAAGTAAAGTTATGACTATTCCACTTTCTTTCATCATATTATTCTTGCTCACTAGGTAGTTTTTATTAACATATCACTCTTGTTGATACCAGTTCTGCCATTACTGTTGACCATAAGAGTGAGATACTATGGACACATGTTAGAACAGTATAAAATACTTCTTCTGAATTCTATTTTTATTTGGACTATCCTAATGCTGCCGGCATTGATGATGAATGAAAAAAAGAAGCTTTTACAGTTTCACCGGGCGATAGGGGGCACAATTTTAACAAGTCAATTCAAATTTTTCAATCATTTCTTCTTACTATTCTTATACGACTCATCTGATGATGGTAAATTCTAATACGACGGTAAATAGTTTACAGTTAACATAGCCTATGGACGCCTGAAATATCAGAGGTATCAAGTGTGTATTGAAATTCTTAAAAAACCTTAAATTACGCATCTTGAAAAACCCCAAGCTATAGTCTTGAGAGCAATCCTCGGCTGATAGTTCATTCCACAGTCTAAGAGAACCCGGCAGGAATCTCCTCTGAAACCGCAATGTTCGCGACCATTTAGGTTCCAGCGCGTGGAGCTGAATTACCTGTCGGTGGCGTGCGGTACGATGGTAAAAGGTAGTCGTCATCTTATGCAGAAGTGAACATGCAAACATTGGAATTAAATCGTGCTGCAACACTAGATCCCTCAGCCTTCAATAATTATTAATCAGTCTTCATTAACAATTGCTAATTATGAATGTAGTTTCACTTTTTTTATAGCTAGAGGGGACCAGGGGAGGATTATAAAATGAACATGAAGTCAGGTCAGTTAGGCCATCGTGATAAATTCACCATGAATTATGATAGTTTCTAGGGGAAATCGCGTGAAGATCAAACTGACATGATATGCCCACACTAACACTCCTCTTTCCCCCCGGAAATGTTCTTTCAGTTATTAAGTTGGTTAAAAGAGAAGTTTTTAATTTTGTACAAAAATAGGTGGAAATCAGTTAATTTAGACATTACTATGTGAAGGTTAATCTTTATGATACATGGCTCCATTGCTTGGCATGTGGAGAGGCGCATTGTGGCGGAAATTACCATGTGCCGTTACAAAATTATTTCAGTGCCAATTGCTGTCTGGCGCCTGTCTGCCATTATTTGTTTATATTCCGCAATGTGATGATGTTTTGATGATAATTCTGGAATAGGTAGATATCTGTACTCTCTATCTGTGTATTTGTTTTTGTAGAAACGAAACTACTTCAAGAATTACGAGGGTTTTAAATTCGAGAGTGTTTTTGTTCATATTTGGTATATCGCCAATTCCAACTCCATTTGCATGACTCATATTTAATTAGGTAGCTATTCTGGTCGTAGACTAATGTCTCTGATATAATCTTAAATGATTCCATATCAAATATTATTTTTTTTATAAAAGATTCAATGGAAAAGAAACTAACTGGTTTCTGCTTAATCTGAAATTAAAAGCATCGTCATTATGTATATACCATACTAGCTGTTCCCGTGACTTCGTCCGCGTGTGTCCCTAGGAAACTATCGTTATAAATTTCTAGTGAATTTGCCACAATACGCTGAATGTTCTGACCTCATGCTCATCCTGTCGTCCTCCACTGGGTGCTCTTCCAGCTTAAGACGTTAGCCAGAGGAGGATGATAAAATGAACATGAAGTCAGGACACTGGCCGGCTTGGCAAATGGCTATTTACCAAAATGGTTTCCAGGAGGAACTACTTGGATTTCCACTTGACTGCGCCATACATTGCTAGCAATGGGGTTATCAATCCACATTACTCAAAATCCTTTTCCCCTCAAAGAATACTTGCTTAATTTTTAAAGTGAATGTGTTCGGATACGTTGGCAGCTTACCATGCCCTTAACAAAAACATTATCTACGCAATACCGGATGCTCGTATAGTAGTCTATGTTCCACGGAAATCTGGTGTACATAATAATTTATAAAGTTAGTATCACAATATCGTTTGAACACGTTTTATTTAATTTAAGCAATAAAAGTCATGCTGTATACGCGAATAACCTTAGGAAAAACATAAATGCAAAAGTGGCGTTATGGTATCACAACAAGAGCTTTTATAGCTTAACAACAATCTGCAGATTTTGTCAACCAGAAGAGGAAGTACCACTATACATCCTATGTGGTTGTAGCCTACTCATGAATAACATCCGAGATATAAACCATCCGTGGAAAGTATACACTATATACATAGTGATCTATGTAGGTCGCAGTGTTACAGGTCTTAACACCTCACTATAGCCCAAAACCGTCATAAAAACAAATTAGTATCACATTCTTGTTTTAACCAGGTAGATGACCCACTATAGACTTCTATAGGCAAGCACAATGCTTATCACATCGACACATAAAGATTTTTGTGACCATCTCGTTTGATGCTGATATTTAACACCCTCAGCGCCAGACCCTAAGTGAAAAATCGAAAAATCGGTAATTTTACAGATTTTTATAAAATCACCGATTTCCAGACCATTTACACCGGAAAAATGCGACAGGCCAGTGTTTTTATTCGTCTAATAGATGTATAGAGAATGTGTTTCAAAAGGATACACGGTTTATTAAGTAGAAAGATGTGTATACTTTTGATTACAGTGTTCTAGACACTGTGTGACAAAAAGATACACATGGCGCCTAAGGTGTTAAGCTATCACGCCTTCATATCCTGTGAATACAGCGTCCTATATCTCGCTTTTTAATGGCAATAGCTTCCAAACAAGCTGCATACCTACTTAGCGGCAGTGATTAGAACAGAGGTATACAACCTTGCACGAAATCTATGTTAAATATAATAATAGTATCTCAGTACAAATCACAGCGCCATATAGTCCCAAGCTAAGCATTATGTTAGGTGTACTAGAGAATTGTTATAAATACGTAGATAGATTTTCTTCATAAATCCATACATAATATACATAGAAGAAACCCAATACAAACAATCCTACTCATAAATATAAGTTATAGTATTGAGCGAGGAATCGAACCCGCGACCATCGGAATTAAGGCGGAGTGCTAAACCACTTGACCACCGAAGCCGACATAAGCCAGCATAATTACCGTAATGTCTTATTTTAATAAAATGTGTGTGTTTATAATTTCAGGTGGACGAGTCAGAGCTTCAAGATGAACCACTACAGCTTCGTCTCATGGACCACGATACTTATTCGGCCAATGACGCGATTGGCAAGGTCGTCATCAGCCTGGCACCGCTACTTGCCAGAGAGGCCAATAATGCCAAGGGCAACGCTCCTCACGGCGGTACGTAAATTACTCATTTGAATTTATGTCTTTTAATTGTTATTGTTTGGCAAACAATGTGCAATTTGCAAGTTGAAATTATTGTTACTGTTGCGGGTAAATAATACGATGTTGTTGGTCGAGACGATGTATATTACAGATGATGATAAACTGACAATGTGTACATAGAAATAATGATCTTATATACTAAATAAAAGTAGGAAAATGTAAGGTGGGGTGACACAGTTTAGATACAGCAGTGCCTAGTAGACAATATTGAATTTGTCTTACTAGACATTATTAAATGCAATTATTATTTTGATGTATCTAGGTGACTGTGTCCCATATTACTATTAGACGGCCTCGGTGGTCTAGCGGTTTAACAAGCCGCTTTACTTCCCACGGTCGCGTGTTTGAGTCCTCGTACATTTGGTGCAAACATTTATATTCATAAGTATGATTGTTGGTATGGTTCTGGGTGTTTTCTATGTACGAGTATATTATGTATGTATTTACAGAGAAAAAATATCTAAGTATTTATATCAGTTGTCTAGTACCCATAACACAAGATCTGCTTACCGCAGGACTAGATGGTGCTCTGTTAATTGTCCAGAGTTATTTATTTATTAGAACAGTAGCTATTTATAGGGCAATGTTACGAGTCACCGGTTTACGGAGTACGACATTCGTTTAATATATTTTTAACAATTTCTCTACATTCTACCCATGAGGAGCACATATCTAAATGTTTAACAATAAAATGTATTGCGTCGGGCCTAGTTTTTTTAGTGATGTTAATAGAATGGTGCACCCGCCTGTGCTAATAGTTTACGCTAGCGGCACACCGGTGGAAGGAGAAAGAATGAGCATGAGTTCAGGTCAGTTAGCCCAACATGACAAATTCACCAGGAATTTATTAGAATGGTTTCCAGGGGAACCGCGTGGAGATCAACCTAACTTCATACATTACTAACAATGGGGTCAACAGTCCACATTACTAACGATCCCGATTCCGCACCCCGTTTTATGGAGGTAAACTTTGTATGGTAACTAGGGTTCATGATTTCTCGAGCTTTTCAATTTCTCGGGTCTCGAGAATTCTCGAGGTTAATTTCTCGGGTCTTCTCGGGTTGTCGAGAAATTTACATTTACGTACGTTTGGTTTATTTTTTGTTCCAATAACGTCAAAAAACTCAGTGGTTTCATTTGAGACGAAAACCACTGCATTTTTTGTTAAATATTAATTATAAAATTTAACTATAAAATTAATTATAAAACTTTTATTGAGTAGGTATATTTAAAAACATTATACATATTATGAATAAGCCATTTTTTTTAAATACTGAAATATATTAGGTTCTTAAATATGAAATTAGCGTTTTGTCGTACTGGCCACTGATCTTAAATATCTCCTCTTTGGTTAGAAATTTCAATTTCAAATTTATACGGCTATTCACTCATGCATTTGTTTTTCGAAAACCGTAATACATGTGCTTGGTTTTTTCTTTGGGTCACTCAGCTTACAAAATGGAAAACTTAAAATATCGCGTCAATATACATGAAAGAAAACTTTAATATCTTGTATTATTGTGCCGCCACGCAATACAACAAACGTCAATTTAATTTCTATATAGGTACTTGATTTCTCGAGTTCTCGACTTTTCTCGAGCTTGATTTCCCGGGAATTCTCGGGTCGAGAATGAACCCTAATGGTGACCTAAACGCATATATACCTACAAAATGAGCTCGTTCGAAGTTGCGCAAAATAGAGAAAAATTACCTTTACCCAGCAGTGGGACAACATAAATAAATAAATAAACTATTACAAAGTCGTCTGCGTAGGTACCTTTATTTCACATATTTGACGGCTTCGGTGGTCTAGCGGTTTTGCACACCGCTTTACTGCCAACAGTCGCGGGTTCGATTCCTCGAACGGTACAAACATTTATATTTATATTCATGAGTTTGATTGTTTATATTGGCCTGGTTTTTTTCTATATATATAAAAGAATGTATTTAAGTATTATGTTAGTTATCTAGTACCCATAACACTAAATCTGCTTAGCTTGGGACTATATGTGTGAATTGTCCATGGTTATTATTATTATTACGCCACTGCACGTCCTGAGCTGTGACGTAAGCACACACAACACCAGGAATAAATTGAGGTGACTCTACGTCATCTCCCGTAATAGTACGCTGTTCTATTTTTATAACATGTAAACACTTGTATAGTTGACTACGCATTCCAGAAATTATGTGGACCACCGATTCTATGATGTTAAAGCAGTATAGAGAGGTATCCGTGCTAAGGAATTAACTTTTTTTTAAAATGATAATCTTTAAAATAAATTAATACGTCCTAAATTCACAATAGTTACACACAGTACGAAATATCAATCTTTAAAATTGTTTAATAATTTACCAATACATCTAAAATCTGTTTATAATTTCACATTGTTTAAGACCACATCGAGGACATTTTTATTGAATAAGTGTTACTTTACTATTCCGAAGATGACTATTATTAAAGATGATCATAAAGACTTATGAGGACCTACTGTCCTGTGCTAGCTGACATACCGAGGTTTAATATTTAAGTTGCTATTACGTTGTTGACAAAAATTTACTGTAATGTTACTATTATGTTATCCTACACAATTTGTATTGTATTGGATGAATAAATAAATAAATATGTGATCTGGCATGTGCTTTCGATATGAAATGGAGTTTAGTTGAAAATCATAGGATGATGATAATAATAAACTAGGGCAATTCATACTACGCCATCTAGTTCCAAGCCAAGCAGAGCTAGTATTTGTGTCTAATAAAAAAAAATCTCAGGACAATTCATACAGCGCCATCTGGACCCAAGTTAAGCTAGCTAAAGCATATGTTATGGGTCCTAGATAACTGATACAAATAAGTAGACATATTCTTTATTACATAAAAAACACCCAGACCAAACTCAAACAATCATACTTTTGAATACAAATGTTTGTGCCGTGCGAGGAATCGAACTCGCGACCATCGGAAATAATACAGTGTGCTAAACTGCTAGACCACCGAGGCATAGATTTAAGTATCACTTGCCTAGTGCCCATAACAAGCTTTGTTTATCTTCTCTTCTTTTAATTTACGACATTCTCAATTACTTAAGAAAATTATTATCTACGAAATAATAGTATAACACAGGGCAATTCATACTGCGCCATCTTGTGTTATGGGTACTAGAGAACTGATACAAATGCTTAAATTTATTTTTTTGTAAATACAAATACCATTAAGTACCATCAATAAAAATATATTTAAGTGTACTGTATTTAAATATTTATATAACTAAAAATGGAATTCATGTCATAAACGTATTTTTGGCGGTTCGCCCCTATTTTCAATAAAGATTCTATACGTGTATTGCACAGAGTACGTTATAAACTCGACCAAAGACAATTGCCATAAATACAAATAATAACTCGATTAACACGACCAAAGACAATGAGCACAAGTACTAATATGTGTATTATTACAGGAGCAGTGATGTCAGGGTGGATACCGGTGTTCGACACGATGCACGGCATCCGGGGCGAGCTGAACGTCATCGTGAAGGTGGAGCTGTTCTCAGACTTCAATAAGTACAAAACTTCCAGCTGTGGAGTCCAGTTCTTTCATTGTTAGTGCACTATTATATTTTAAATTTGGAGTGATAGTCACAGATTATACATCCGAAATTATTGCAGATATTTGTAAAATCTCTCACGTATTGTTAAATGAACATATACTAAATAATTATTATATAATCAATGTATAAATATATAGTTTTGATATTTATTATTTATTTGTTAAAGTCGAATATTTCAGTTTTTTTTTAAAGATATATTTTATGACCTTGGATATTAGTGCTTTAGATACAGTTTTCTGGTTTTGAATATATTGCTGTCGCAATTTTGTACCCAGAAAAATGGTTTTGACTTCACACAAATATATTAATTTATTCATAACTAGTCGATCCGCGCAATTTCGTCAGCGTACAATATTACCCGTTAGCAATATTTTTATTACAGCTCTGCTCCTATACATCGTAGCGTGATGTTATATATCATATAGCCTTCTTCAATTCTTCAATAAAGATCATTATTGTACCTAGTACCAGGATTACTATAGATAGTTTAGGAATGGTCATGACAACTTCTGTTGCAGGTCCAATGATACCGCCCGGATATAAAGCAACATCAATACATGGCTTTGTTGAGGAGTTAGTGGTAAATGACGACCCAGAGTATCAATGGATAGACAAGATCAGGACTCCTAGAGCTTCTAACGAGGCGAGGCAGGTCGCCTTCATCAAGCTTAGTAATCAGGTATTAATTATTATGATAAATATATATATATTTTTAATAATGATAATCTTCAAAATAAATTTTAATATAAATTAATAAATAAATCTTAAAAAAATATTATTGCTAAGAAATAATTTATAAAATACAATATTATAAACGCAATAAATTGTATTCAAATATATCCAGTACGAGAATCAGCCAACATCTATATCTCATAGCCCTCAATGAGGGTGACCCACCCCTAAATATATATTTTCTAATGATCTTTTTTTTTTTATTTCATTATGATTTAGTATTGAAAATACAACATAAAATTTCACTCTTTTACAATCAGCCTACATGTAAAATATAAAATGATACACATCCTTACTAATATTATAAATGCAAAAGTAACTCTGTCTGTCTGTCTCGCTTTCACGCCTAAACCACTGAACCGATTTAAATGAAATTTGGTACACAGATAGTCTAGATCCTGACAAAGGACTACTTTTTAATGTGAAAAAAGGGGTTGCAAAGAGTTAAAGGAAATATGAAAGGTTCTATGGAAGTATCGTCATTTTATGCGGACGAAATCGCGGGCGCAGCTAGTATAAAATAAAACTACTACACGTTATCATATAAGTGATGTTTGGTACCTAGGTTCAGCGGTTAGTTGGTCTGAAGGCTGCGGAATTGGGCGCCAACGCTGTGGTCGGTTACCAGCAGGACTTCGACTTGGAAGGCGAGGCGGGTGTCGTCGCCAGAGCTATTGGTTATTACCACCATTTTATAATATGTATTAACGGCCTCGGTGGTCTAGTAGTTTCGTACTCCGCTTTACTTCTGATGGTCGCGTGTTCGATTCCTCGCATGGTAGTACGATTTTTTGAACTGGGCTGAGTGTTTCTTGTATTATTATATGTATAACAATAATAATCTCAAGACAATTTTTCCGCCTGGATCTAAGTAAAGCTAGCTAAAACTTGTATTATGGGTATTAGATAACTGATACATATAGATCTTTTTTTTTTTTCGTAAATACATACATATTACACATAGAAAACACACAGCATACTCATGAATATAAAAATTTGTGCCAAGCAAGGAATCGAACTCATGACCATAGGAAGTAAGACATTATGCTAAACCGCTAGACCACCGAGGCCGTTATGTATGTGTTGTGGGATAGTAATACGTTGTTATCGTTCGAGATGATGAATGTATAATACAGATGAAAGTGAAATAACAAATATATATTTATTTATTGCAAAAATATTAAGCACATTCATACAAAGTGTGGTTAAGTTGTTGCAATGATTTTGTGACGCCCTAAGAGTGCATGGCAATATAGGCACAGAACCTCACTATTATATAGAGTTACTGTCTGTGCCCGCGGTTTCACTCGCATTAAATTTATAGCCTATATGTTATTCTGATATATAAGCTATATTACTGTAACGTTTTATCAAAATCCGTTCAGTAGTTTTTGCGTAAAAGACTAACAAACATCTATCCATACTCACAAACTTTCGCTTTTTTAATATTAATAAGATTATTTATATTGTTAAACAGGCACAGCTGTCAGTATAACACCACTGCCTACCCCATCGCAACCTATGAACATACCACCCTGCACACAACAGTGAGTATACTTTGTACTATTTAAGTGTATGCAATTGGCAATTCCTTTTTAAACACTTATGAATACAATATTTTTTCAAATTCTCTTGTTATTAACTTGTAGGTAGGTATATTATCATCAGCAAATAAATCATCACAATCGGTGCTCCATTTTGTATATATATATAAAGTGTTTACTTTTGTTTGAGTCTATTTATTTAGGCTGATATATTGAGCTATGTAATGTAATTTTAAACTAAACAGAATAATGTTATTACTCCATTGGTATTTAAGTTAGAGAGTGTAAAAGTATTCTTATCTCATATTGTTATAAAGATAAAAGCAATGGACTTAAATAAATTAATAATTAAAAATAAAAAGTTATTTATTGGCTATAGTTTATATTGATTTTATTTTGAAATCTAAAAACTACGCAAGCTTTTATTGTGCTATTTATGTTGTAATATTATTGCAGAAAATAACCACATATATATAATATTTAAGTAAAACAAATTGAGTAAACGCACTAATGAATATATATTTGCATGGTTTGCTGTGGATTGCTTTTTATATTTATTAAAAAAAATAATTACGTAGACAATTAAAGAAATATTTGGACATTTTATCGACCGATAACGAAAACACTACCGACTTAAATGAATATTATCAACACCATCAGGACGAATTGGCAAAGCTGCTTACAATTCTTAATCCTAAGACTCCAACACTTTTAGATGAAACGGATGTCATTGAGGATAATGATGATGAAAAAAGTTATGCCTTAACCAGACAATCTAGTATTAAAAGTTACACTGGCAGTGTTTCTATATACCAGGACGATTATATATCGCAGAAAAGTCTCAAACATATATCAGAAGACCAAACCGATTTAAATAGACTACTCAATCGTAACTCTTTAGATTCTGATTCTCCAGGGCCATTAAGGAAAATAAAGAAATTCAAAACCAATTTTTTCCTCAAAAGACTAAGCAGCATGCGCGGTCGCAAAGACACACAAGACGATCAAATATCACTGAAATCGAATTCTTCTGATGCCTCTAGAATTTCACTAGATATAAAGAATGAGTTTAAAAAGTTTAAACGCATGAAAAAGCCTAAATTTTCCAAGACTTATACCAATAACGCAGATGAAGGTATAGGTATGGCATCTGTACTCGCCAGATCTGTGATTCATGCTCATACTAGTCTTGCTTGTATTGCTGAAACTCAAGATTCTGAACACTCCCCTAATTCAACATTAAGACGTGCTAGTGAATCTGAACCCACAATTAACGTATCTGATGAGGATAAACCCAAAACTACTACTGATACAGACACATCTATTGATGCTAATAGCAATAAAGATGAAAATAAAAAGGTGCCTGAGATACATTTTTCATCTCTCAAAAACATTAATTCTGATGAACCTGAAATTCTAGAAAAACGTGGAAGAAGATTATCAGAATCTTGTCCAACGTCTCCGATGGCTAGTAGGAATGACAATCTTCTTAAATTACCAGAAGACGCTGATTATTACGGTTCAGTATCATCTGCACTATCTGGTGAGAGTTCAGAAATATATTCTAGCTCAGACGAAGACGATGAAAGTTCTGATGTAAGAACAGACACGGAAAAATCAATTGAAACTACTAGTTCCCTTGTACACTCAGTTCTAAGCCACGAAATAAATCCAGCTTTAATAGCACAAATGGATAGAAAGCTTAGCACCCTTAAAACTGAAAAACTTGATCGCCAACTTCTTGAGGAGGATATACAAAATAAAACCACAGATGCTTATAAATTTGATAATACAAGAAACGAAAACAATGATATGGAAAAACAAGAGGTCGCAGCAATATCTGCTGGTGAACATCCCGAAATGTTTGTAGTTAAAAAATCAAATAGCCATCATTTTAAATTTCACAACCCTTTTACTCATAAGAAAGTATCTAAAAGTCTTAGTGCCCCTACATCCCCAGTAGAAAATAGCAGCTTTGTATATCGCTCTTCGCAGAAAATAAAACGACAACTTTCAAAATTGTCAACCAGCAATATGATAAAAAGCCTCTCGCATTATTCTTTAATACATAAAAAGAAACAGGAAGAAGTAAAAAGTTTAAGTAAACCGAGTTCAACGGCTGATATACTGTCAAAGGTACCTAGTGAAACTGTTTTGGGGTCTCCGTTTCTTTCTTATGCCGATTTGCTTAGTTTGGACAAAGAAGGGATAGATTTAAATAAAAGGTTTCATAAAAGTGATGAATATGTGGGTCCAAAAGTCTCAATGTATATAGGCTCTGAACCTGCTTCTAGGGCATCTTTGAGTGGAACATTATATACTGAACATGGCAGTCATGATTTAAATTATCACGAACATAATTCCAATAAAAAAGATAAATGTAGTATCAAACCATCTGGTTTACTTCACACTGCTATGGAGACGATACTTATAGATAAAGTTCAATCTTTACTATCTCCATCATCACCAGAACCTATACCGGCTGCCAATCAATTTTTTAATGACGTCTCTGAAAAATTAGAAAAGGTAGAAGTAGATAGGAATAAGACCCCAGAAACAACAGGCTTAGTTCATACGGCAATGGAGACTATTCTTTTAGATAAAGTTCAATCTCTCTTAATTCCTACTACCCCAGAACCAAGTCCTCCGAAACAGTTTTTTGATAAAATTGATCCTATCTTAGTTCAATCGAATAAAAGCGAACAAGAAACAAGTGGCTTAACACATACAGCTATGAAAACTATACTAATGGATAAAGTACAAACTTTAGTTAATCCAAATACAGAATTTGAGCCTGTTGAAGTTAAATCACTATTATTAGATTCCGAAAAAACTTGTAGTAAAAATCACGAAATGCAGGAATCAACGGGTCTTACGCATATGGCTATAGAAACTATTTTAGTGGATAAAGTCAAATCGCTCCTTGGGCCTTCTGTTGATGTTATACCTCAAACTCGTTGCCCTAAAGAACAAGGGATAAATTCTGAAAAAGTAAATATTTCAAAAAATAATGACCCTATTTCTTATGGTTTAGTTCACACTGGTATGGAATCAATGCTTATTGATAAAGTACAATCTCTATTAGATCCTGAAATTGACTCTTTAAAAGACATATCACAAAATACAACCGAAGTTCTTGAGAAAGACTCTCTTAAATTACGAGAAATTGAAATAGAACCTTCTAACGAAGAATCTGGATCCTTGAAATCTGCTGAAAATGATGCAAATATCGATAAAGTTGAAGCACATTCACCAATATCTAGCTCACTTATTTCTTCAGAAACAAAGGACGTTTCGACCAACATTAATACAGATTACAAAGAATTAAAAGAAAAGAAAAAACTAGTCAGACAGGACCGTGTGGAATCGAATAATGAAAACGAGTCGCATAAAATGTCCAAAAAATCTAACACTGTTCCACATAAACTAACAACGCCGGTTTTACAACACTTCCATCCCATTCTTAGTGGTGGTGCACCATTAGAGACCATTCCATCGTTGCCGGAAAGTAGTTTTGATCAGAGCGAAAGTTTAGATGAGATTGTAACAAAATGTCAATGTGAAAGCGAATGTAAATGTCAGGAGTGTGAGTCTAGTGGCACTAACAATGCTAGTGTGTGTGATAACTCGCATGCAGCGTGGCCTGTTGACAGGAGCGAGCGAGATAAAGATAAGGGTGAGAAAGACAAAGGATCACCACGTCATGCGAGGCATGAGTCCTATGGAGGGAAGGAGCCTGTTCCAGCTGTTACACACACGCAAAACTCTTCGTTGAATTCAACATCGACTCCAATGGGAATACATCGGCGATCTTCCGATTCTGACCTCAGTATTACACCCAAAGGTTAGTAATCTTTACTATTATTAGAAAGCTGAAGAGTAGTTTGATTAAATGAGCTAATCTCAGAAACAACTCAATTGAGAACTTTTTCAATTTGTTGAATAACACATTTGTCTAGGATGGCTATAGGCTATATAATATCTTGTTACAACGAGTAGAAGCAAAGCATCAATGCATGCAAAAATGTTGCCAAAACGGTGAAAATTTAATAATTTTGAAAAGTTTCTCTCTTAACACAAAGATCTTTTGCGATTCAGCTAGTTGTTAATATAAATGCTGTGTTAACATTTAAAACATAAATGTAGGTTAGAAATACGACATTTGTGTCTATACGGTATGACATTAATAGGTAAAATGATACATCTCAACAGGTAGTTCACTAAATGCGTCTGGGGTAAACGTTGGTAGCGGCGGTGGTGCTATTTTGAGGCCATCGATGAATAGCAACAACTTGGAAATGCTCGAGTATCCCTTCTTAACTATGACGGAGTACCCACCTGGATTTATAGTACATATAGGTGAGTTATCATACTGAAAGTTGACCTCTTTACATGATTTTGATAAACTAATAGCTTTTTAGCGCGTATAATATGAATCATACGCGCAATCTTGAGCGAAATAGTGAACACAAAAGTACGAAAATATAATCACTCACGATTAAGCGCGCTGGCGTTCCCGAGTGAAAGAACGAAGTACGCGTTCGTCTGTAAAGGCCGGTTACGTGCGCAGGCGGCACGGTGTGCGCGCGGTCGGTGAAGCTGGCGGACGGCGGCGAGAGCGCGGCGCGCGCCGCCTGGTGGGCCGAGCTGCGCACCGAGCTGCGCGCGCACGCCCGCGCGCTGCGCTGCAACGCCGTGCTCGCGTACTCGGACGCCGCCGCCATCTGGTGAGTACTCACACTCGCACTCACACTCACTATATATACGGACGGCGGCGAGAGCGCGGCGCGCGCCGCCTGGTGGGCCGAGCTGCGCACCGAGCTGCGCGCGCACGCCCGCGCGCTGCGCTGCAACGCCGTGCTCGCGCGCGCGCACGCCCGCGCGCTGCGCTGCAACGCCGTGCTCGCGTACTCGGACGCCGCCGCCATCTGGTGAGTACTCACACTCGCACTCACACTCACTATATATACGGACGGCGGCGAGAGCGCGGCGCGCGCCGCCTGGTGGGCCGAGCTGCGCACCGAGCTGCGCGCGCACGCCCGCGCGCTGCGCTGCAACGCCGTGCTCGCGTACTCGGACGCCGCCGCCATCTGGTGAGTACTCACACTCGCACTCACACTCACTATATATACGGACGGCGGCGAGAGCGCGGCGCGCGCCGCCTGGTGGGCCGAGCTGCGCACCAAAAGACTTGAAATTATCGCAAAAATGTTTGGCTTTTTTTGTTAGATTAATAAGTTAAGGTGGATTACTAATCTAAGGTACTTGGAGTCCCTATATATAATAGTAGAATTACTATAAAACGCAAGTGCCACTAGGTGTACGAAATACGAACGGTGTACGAAGTCCGGGTAGCTAACGAGCCAACAACTGCTTGGGAATATTTGACGCCCACCCGCAGTGACGGATCAACGTACATATCACATCCAACACAACATACACATTAACACACACATTAGGAAATTGAGTTTTATTGTAATAGCTTTTAAGTCTTAATTAAATTTATTGCATTTCTGATATATGTATTTAATTTGTTACTCAGTGAGGATGTGTGTGTCCTGTCTGCATCAGGAACAGCTGCTGTCATCAATCTAGATTGCGACTTCAACGCGGAGAGCGAACCTATTCCTGGTATTGAAATTGATTTCTATTACGAAGTTTCCTTTCCTTAATAGAGTTATAAAGGCTTTCAATATATGTTTACAACCATAAATATTAATAAAAAGACTTAAATTTTTCAACATGGGAAAACTCGTTTAATATTTATACTTATTATTAACATATTAAAGTATATTTTTTAATTTATAGTATTGCTCTCCCACTGGTCGAATTGAACATTATTAAGGTTCTTTAAGACTATGCGTGTGTGTATCAAATACGTGGTAGTATGTGTAACGTATTATTTATTGATTTAATATATTTTTTGCATAATTAAAAAAATATATTTGCATTCTGCAGTCCTTTTCTATATTATCTCTATGCATGAAATTTCATAATCCGCGTCCGCGCAATCATATAAAGGGTTACAAAGCAAATGTGAAGCAAAAACCTCACGCTTATACGTTCAGTATCATGTTGTCATGATACTGAACATCATCACACTTCTTCATCATTCGAAATTAGAAATATCTTTGATATTTCTTTTTTAAACTGATCTGTAAACTGAACTGCTCAATCTATTAGAAATTTTCTTATGCCTCTTTTACAATTCGATATTAATTAAGAAATTTTATATAAATTTATAATATGTATATGCTTAAATAACTGCTATTTTGTTTAGCAAACACCAAGGCGGCAGATGAAGTAGATGAGTGCTGTTCGATAGCTCACGTGCCGTACTCTCCTGGTGCTGGCCCTTATCGTGCTGAACTGTCCGTCTGTGGAGGTTGCAGGTAAATAATTCAAAAATACATATATGTAATAGGTTCAATAACTCATGTCATATGGGTACATAATGCCTATATTTTGATTTCAATATCTGTACTTTAAAAAATATTTTTTTAAACAGATAAGGAATTTATCTTGTTTACTATGATATACATTTAGCTAGATACTCCCAAGGTAAGGCAATTAAGGAAATAATTTTGCTAGTGAAGACGAATTAAGTATTGTTCACACAGCAGTGCACGTGTCACCTTATAGTTGTCTATCTTTATTTAGTGTATAATAATATTGACTTTATTTTGTACAAACTTTTTTTTTGCTGCGCACCACATTGTGGAATCACCTTTCAGCAATGGTATTTATGGGACACAGTCACCTAGATACATCAAAATAATAATTGCATTTAATAATGTCTAGTAAGACAAATTCAATATTGTCTACTAGGCACTGCTGTATCTAAACTGTGTCACCCCACCTTACATTTTCCTATTATTATTTAGTATATAAGATCATTATTTCTATGTACACATTGTCAGTTTATTATCATCTGTAATATACATCGTCTCGACCAGCAACATCGTATATATCACCCGCAACAGTGGTGACCCTGACGTGATCTGGCCGACGTGGTCGAGACGATACCTGGGAAAACGACGAGATCAAACAAGAGATCTCTGTCTGACGGCATCCTGCGCACCACCAACATATTTTCCACCGGCTTCCCAGAAGCGGGTCTCACCGGCTCGGAAATTCAAGAGGCATAAAAGTTCGTTGGCAATACTGCGCAACAAGGATCCTGCCGTGCTACTGACCCCCAGTAAACACAACTGCCTGCTGGATATAATCTCTGGACGAAAAATTGAAACTGGAAAAATAAAGCAAAAATGCTGTCTACAAAAGTACAGCCAACAGTCACCGCCGACGTCATTGCACACCTGTCGTCACTAATTGCGACACTGCGATCAGAAATTGCTGATATACGCGAAAAGCGCTCGCCACACACAAACAGACGCAGCAACTACCGATCTAGGTCAAATTTGCACCTACGGTCATTGCATAGTCAGAAAAATGACTATTATTTTATATTATATCATCGCAAATATAAAGAAAAGGCATACAAATGTGACATGCCGCGCTCCTATAGACAACCGTCGGAAAACTAGTTTCGACGCAGAATAAGACGGAACGCTGTGCTGTTCATCCGTATAACCGCCTCGATATAACCGACTCTAACAGTGGCTATAGAATTTTGGTGGACACCGAAAGCAAAAATCTCGGTGAATAAAACACAAGCACAGACCAAAGAGAGCGCTAGCGAAATCAAATTATTCGCCGCAAACAATTAATATGAGCAAATGCGAGTTCTTCACAAATGAGTTAGATTTTCTTGGTTATCATATAACGAGCCAAGGTTTTAAAACATCGTATTAAAAATGGCAAGCAATCGACGAGTACCCTAAACCCACGACAGTCGAAGATTTACGTCGTTATTTGGGTATAATGAATTTTTATTGTTACAAAAGTTCATAATATCTTAAATTTTACAGTTAACTTAAATAATTTTTTTTGTGTGTAATATATATATTTTTTTTTCTCTCAAGGGGGGAATATCTATGGGACACAGTCACCCAGATACATCAAAATAATAATTGCATTTAATAATGTCTAGTAAGACAAATTCAATATTGTCTACTAGGCACTGCTGTATCTAAACTGTGTCACCCCACCTTACATTTTCCTATTGTTATTTAGTATATAAGATCATTATTTCTATGTACATATTGTCAGTTTATCATCATATGTAATATACATCGTCTCGACCAGCAACATCTTAATATTTACCCGCAACAGTATTTCCAAACCGATACAATATTGAAACCTTCAAGAAAAGAGTTTATTCCTATTTATAAGGCCGACAACGCACTTGCAATTCCCCTGGTGTTGTGGTGCTCATGGGCGGCGGTAATCGCTTACCATCAGGTGAGCCGCATGCTCGTTTGTCCCCTGTGCTATAAAAAAAAGTTCAGTTTTTGAGTTAACTATCATCTGTTACTATATTTATCGTTTCAACCTACAATATCACCTCACTATTCAGGAATATTAATTATATATGTACGTACAATAACAAATTAAATACAGTTTATAAATATAAAATATTTGGAAAATTTCATCAGAATCGAATTTAATTTTGCATCTATATAGGTGTTTATATATAAGTCCAACATACTCCTTTGGACTTATATAAATATCAAATAGAACTATTATTAATAAATTGCACCCGCGTATCTACATTAAACCAGCAGTGGTTGGATGTACTGGTTGTATCCGTCGCAGAGTGCGATGATAATGATGTGTGGTGATAATGATGATGTGTGATGATACTGATGATGATGATGATGATGATGATGGTGATGTGGCAGGCGCGCGCGGGTGCCGGCGGTGGTGCTGGCGAGCTGCGCGAAGCCGGCGCGGCTGCCGGCCTGCCCCAAGGCCGTCACCATCACCGCCGTCGGTACGCTCCTCTACTCTCTTTGTACTATCCTAATCTAGTGTTATACTAATCAATGTAGGTTTATTTGTTAATGAGCTGATTGTCCTGACCTCATACTTATTTTTATCATCTTATACTGGTGTCTTGCCAGTGTGTATCGTTTATATAAACGAGCGTACCATTCCATTAAAAGAAATACAAAATTGCTCTTGTCTTGTATTAATATTAAAACATCATTTCATACCTAAATAGATACCCTACATATAAGCCGGGGTGGCTTCACACAGATGTACATGTGTAATACATATAAACCTTCCTCTTGAATCGCTCTATCTATTGTTAAAAGCTTCATTAAAATCCGTTGCATAGTTTAAAAGATTTAATCGATCAGACAGCGGAAGCGACTTCATTTTATAGTATGTAAAGATTAACGTATTACAGCGGCACGTGTACGTAGAGCGCCGCCCACAGGTGAGCCCGCAGCTAGAGACATCTCCGATCAGCTGCCGTTCTTAGAGTACGAACTGCACAAGTTACTCATTGCCAAGTTAAGGATGCAGGTAATCTTTTATTTCATATCTATTTGATGTCTATAGGATATTCTTATTGTATTTAATCAATCATATCAAATGTGGCGTTCATCACGACGTCACATTGATAATGGGTCTAATTATCTGGGACATCGCCGGTAAAGAGCGCTGCACTGAGTGATAGGGGTCGACGTCCTTGCGGGCGAGGACTGTGTCGTATGTTTATGTGATAGCGAGGTAGGAATGGAGCAGGGTGATCCGTAGGAACTCTAGGTAGATATACTATTATGGGATCATTGGCCTCAAGAACGTGCCTCCGGTATAGTCACGATAGGAATATAAAGTGATATAATTGTTGTGTGCAGGGGGCGAACGCAGTGTTCTCACTGCAGACGCAGGTGTGTGTGGGCGAGCGCTGCGTCATGGCGCTCGCCAGCGGCTCCGCGGTGCGGCTCGCCGCGCTGCCGCCGCCCACGCCGCCCAGGATCAAGGTACGTACACACTGCACGCACTGCACACTGCACACTGCACAGTGCACAGTACGCAGTGTTCTCACTGCACACGCAGGTGTGTGTGGGCGAGCGCTGCGTCATGGCGCTCGCCAGCGGCTCCGCGGTGCGGCTCGCCGCGCTGCCGCCGCCCACGCCGCCCAGGATCAAGGTACGTACACACTGCACGCACTGCACACTGCACACTGCACACTGCACAGTACGCAGTGTTCTCACTGCACACGCAGGTGTGTGTGGGCGAGCGCTGCGTCATGGCGCTCGCCAGCGGCTCCGCGGTGCGGCTCGCCGCGCTGCCGCCGCCCACGCCGCCCAGGATCAAGGTACGTACACACTGCACGCACTGCACACTGCACACTGCACAGTGCACAGTACGCAGTGTTCTCACTGCACACGCAGGTGTGTGTGGGCGAGCGCTGCGTCATGGCGCTCGCCAGCGGCTCCGCGGTGCGGCTCGCCGCGCTGCCGCCGCCCACGCCGCCCAGGATCAAGGTACGTACACACTGCACGCACTGCACACTGCACACTGCACACTGCACAGTACGCAGTGTTCTCACTGCACACGCAGGTGTGTGTGGGCGAGCGCTGCGTCATGGCGCTCGCCAGCGGCTCCGCGGTGCGGCTCGCCGCGCTGCCGCCGCCCACGCCGCCCAGGATCAAGGTACGTACACACTGCACGCACTGCACACTGCACACTGCACACTGCACAGTACGCAGTGTTCTCACTGCACACGCAGGTGTGTGTGGGCGAGCGCTGCGTCATGGCGCTCGCCAGCGGCTCCGCGGTGCGGCTCGCCGCGCTGCCGCCGCCCACGCCGCCCAGGATCAAGGTACGTACACACTGCACGCACTGCACACTGCACACTGCACAGTGCACAGTACGCAGTGTTCTCACTGCACACGCAGGTGTGTGTGGGCGAGCGCTGCGTCATGGCGCTCGCCAGCGGCTCCGCGGTGCGGCTCGCCGCGCTGCCGCCGCCCACGCCGCCCAGGATCAAGGTACGTACACACTGCACGCACTGCACACTGCACACTGCACAGTGCACAGTACGCAGTGTTCTCACTGCACACGCAGGTGTGTGTGGGCGAGCGCTGCGTCATGGCGCTCGCCAGAGTTCCGCGGTGCGGCTATGCCGCCGCCCACGCCGCCCAGGATCATGGTCCGTACACACTGCACGCACTGCACACTGCACACTGCACAGTATCGCATTTCTCACTCTGTACACGCAGGTGTGTGTGGGCGAGCGCTTCATGGCGCTCGCCAGCGGAATTTCCGCGGTGCGGCTCGGTGCGTTGCCGCCGCCCACGCCGCCCAGGATCAAGGTACGTACACACTGCACGCACTGCACACTGCACAGTACGCAGTGTTCTCACTGCAGACGCAGGTGTGTGGGCGAGCGCTGCGTCATGGCGCTCGCCAGCGGCTCCGCGGTGCGGCTCGCCGCGCTGCCGCCGCCCACGCCGCCCAGGATCAAGGTACGTACACACTGCACGCACTGCACACTGCACACTGCACAGTACGCAGTGTTCTCACTGCACACGCAGGTGTGTGTGGGCGAGCGCTGCGTCATGGCGCTCGCCAGCGGCTCCGCGGTGCGGCTCGCCGCGCTGCCGCCGCCCACGCCGCCCAGGATCAAGGTACGTACACACTGCACGCACTGCACACTGCACACTGCACAGTACGCAGTGTTCTCACTGCACACGCAGGTGTGTGTGGGCGAGCGCTGCTTAATGGCGCTCGCCAGCGGCTCCGCGGTGCGGCTCGCCGCGCTGCCGCCGCCCACGCCGCCCAGGATCAAGGTACGTACACACTGCACGCACTGCACACTGCACACTGCACAGTGCACAGTACGCAGTGTTCTCACTGCACACGCAGGTGTGTGTGGGCGAGCGCTGCGTCATGGCGCTCGCCAGCGGCTCCGCGGTGCGGCTCGCCGCGCTGCCGCCGCCCACGCCGCCCAGGATCAAGGTACGTACACACTGCACGCACTGCACACTGCACACTGCACACTGCACAGTACGCAGTGTTCTCACTGCACACGCAGGTGTGTGTGGGCGAGCACTGCGTCATAACATTATGAACTCTAATAATAACAATACAAAGTACGTACTTTTTTAACATATTTAATTTGTTACAGGCCTCAGAGAACGACAAAGATGCTCTAGAAATACAGAAAGCGCTTTGGGACACATTCACAGCTAACAAAGCAGCGAATGGTTTCGATGTTGGTGAGTTAACTAAGTATAAAAATACATATGTTAAATACTTGTTTAATAACACTATACATAATATCTACTATTTTTACTCTGTGGTAATATGCGTGTTTGTAGGAGGACCCGAATTTAGTACTAACGGTGCGTTACCGGAAGTGGAAGGTGATGAGTCGACCGCGCCTGCTCTCGACCTCTGTGCGGATAAAGATGCCTGCGTACTCGAACTTGATGAGGCGGAAGACGTAAGTAGAATTTTAGTCAATGTATTAAAGGATAAATACATATGTATTATGGTATCACTGTATCAATATACCACATATTTTAATAATATTATCTAAATACATACATAACGTGCTATCAAAATATCATATCATTTTTTGTCTATCATTATCATCTGCTTCTTCCCTATCCCATTTATTTGTGGTCGGCGTAATATGTTTTGCTCTTCCATTCATCCCTGTTCGCAGTCATCTCGTTATGTACTCCCTTTTTTGTCGGTAATAATCACTATTGAAATCGAAGGATAAAAAGTAAAATAAGAGGAATTTGAGAGATTCCTGTTTAAGATGTAGTTGCACGTATACAGGTGGAGACGGCGCGCACGCTGGCAGCGCGGCGACTGCACGCGCGCCTCCCGCTGTACACCGCGCAGCGAGCGCGAGCCCCGCCCCACGCATACACGCAGGTACGTGTATCCGCACGTGCGTAGCCACGTGCACGGACTAGAAATGCGATGTCTTTTTAAATGATAATGGAATGGTGCACTACCTGGGCGCCGATTTACGCTGGCATGACACCAGTGGAAGTTAGTAGGATGGCCCATCGTGATCGTGAATGTACCAGGAATGTTGCAGGATGGTTTCCAGAGAGAACTGTGTTGCAGTCAAATTGTCATGGTATATTGCTAACAGTGGCTTCATTAGTCTACATAATTAATTATCTCTTTTCCCCAGGAAATGCGATGGTTGACGGAGATAAGTGTGACACAAGTTTAAGGTTCTGTGATGATGTACAGGTGTGGCGCGCCCGACTGCAGCTGGCCGGCCAGGGCGGAGCCAGTACGGCGGCTGAGAGACACGTGGCGCGCGCACTCGACGGCGTCGCGTACAAGCTGCGCCGCCTGCAGCCCTGCGCGCTGCTCGCGCCGCGCCTGCAGCTCGACCTGCCGGAGGTGAGTGCCCGCGCTGCACGCTGCACGCTGCACGCTGCACGCTGCACGCTGCACGCTGCACGGCGTCGCGTACGAGCTGCGCCGCCTGCAGCCCTGCGCGCTGCTCGCGCCGCGCCTGCAGCTCGACCTGCCGGAGGTGAGTGCCCGCGCTGCACGCTGCACGCTGCACGCTGCACGCTGCACGCTGCACGCTGCACGGCGTCGCGTACGAGCTGCGCCGCCTGCAGCCCTGCGCGCTGCTCGCGCCGCGCCTGCAGCTCGACCTGCCGGAGGTGAGTGCCCGCGCTGCACGCTGCACGCTGCACGCTGCACGGCGTCGCGTACAAGCTGCGCCGCCTGCAGCCCTGCGCGCTGCTCGCGCCGCGCCTGCAGCTCGACCTGCCGGAGGTGAGTGCCCGCGCTGCACGCTGCACGCTGCACGCTGCACGCTGCACGGCGTCGCGTACGAGCTGCGCCGCCTGCAGCCCTGCGCGCTGCTCGCGCCGCGCCTGCAGCTCGACCTGCCGGAGGTGAGTGCCCGCGCTGCACGCTGCACGCTGCACGCTGCACGCTGCACGCTGCACGGCGTCGCGTACGAGCTGCGCCGCCTGCAGCCCTGCGCGCTGCTCGCGCCGCGCCTGCAGCTCGACCTGCCGGAGGTGAGTGCCCGCGCTGCACGCTGCACGCTGCACGCTGCACGCTGCACGCTGCACGCTGCACGCTGCACGGCGTCGCGTACGAGCTGCGCCGCCTGCAGCCCTGCGCGCTGCTCGCGCCGCGCCTGCAGCTCGACCTGCCGGAGGTGAGTGCCCGCGCTGCACGCTGCACGCTGCACGCTGCACGCTGCACGCTGCACGCTGCACGCTGCACGGCGTCGCGTACGAGCTGCGCCGCCTGCAGCCCTGCGCGCTGCTCGCGCCGCGCCTGCAGCTCGACCTGCCGGAGGTGAGTGCCCGCGCTGCACGCTGCACGCTGCACGCTGCACGGCGTCGCGTACGAGCTGCGCCGCCTGCAGCCCTGCGCGCTGCTCGCAACTTGAAAAAAGAAGCAACATACAAAATGTCCTAGTACTGATAAAATACTGATAAGAATTGACGTACATAAGTAGCTAAAAATGTTCTATGTGCTTTCGACTGTGACGTCGAAGTTACATGTGTTTACACCATAAATTAAATATTATTAATTTAAAATTCCATTTATTTTCTTCTAGGATGAAATTCAATTGGTCCTCTCCGGAGCAGCCATTCCCTTAGTGGACCCGACGAAGCCTGATATCAACGGACTATCAGAAAATAGGAACTTGCAAACTTCTAACCAAATACAAACTAGTCATGGTAATGGGACGGGTGATGCCGATGATGATATCTTCGCATTGGATGAGGAGCAGTTGGTGAGGACGCAGCCTTCGGAAGTGGTCGAAGAAAAGGCTCCTATTAATGGACAGGTAATTCATTTAAAAAGTAGTTTGCAAACAAACGTTAGTAGGTAACATCTTATAAATATAAAAAGTCATCATCAAATATTACCAACACCAAAACTTTATATCCATTTAAACTATCGACAACACTTCGGTGGAAAATACTAATGGATAACAGATAATAACAGTAGGCTCACCATGACAGAAGATGATGAAAAATAGATATTGGCCGATTCTCAGACCTACTCAATACGCTCACAAACTATCATGAGAATCGGTCAAGCCGTTTCGGAGGTGTATAAAACTGTGACACGAGAATTTTATATATAAGATCCTTACAAAATGAGTACCGTGTAAACTGTAGGGGCAGGCGAGCGCGGCGCCGGCGAGCGTGTCGCTGTGGTCCGCGAGCTCCGCGCGCGGGTCGCGGCTGTGCGCGCTGCGGCTGCTGTTCGTGCGGGAGACCACGTGCGTCCGCGAGCTGGGCGGCCTTAGCGGGTTCCTACACACCTTCACGTGCGAGGTGACCGCCGGCTACGATAATACGATATCAATACTAGATTTAAACACAAACTTGCTGTCCCCAAGTATCCTTTAGAAAAAGTTAATAGATCTTTTATGGGAATAGGTATAAAAATTTACAATAAAATACCAAAGGATATGTTGGAATTACCCTTAAATAAATTCAAAGCATCTGTTAAATATTATTTACTGAGCGAAGCCTATTACTCACTAAACGATTACTTGAATGACGAGTGTGCACGGCAATAGTTGTTCGTGCACTGAATTTTCATTTAATGTTAGACATAGACACCTATATAAATATACATTGTAAATAAATTGGCTTTAAAAAAAAAAAGTAATTCATTTGAGTTTCTTGCCAGTTCTTCTCAATTGGATCTATATACCGAACTGGACGGTAGGGAAAAAAAATAAAATTAAAATGTAAAAATTTGACGTTCATAAACGGCTAAAATGTCCTACATGAATAAATGATTTTTGAATTTGAATTTGAATTTGAGTATAATAGAAAATCACTCAGTCAAATAAGCGTACATTGAAGCACAAAAAAATGTGATGACTTCGTCGTCACATTTTTTTTCAATCTACCGCTCATTCTGAAACCTGTTTCATCACAAGAAGAATAGAATAGAAAATCATTTATTCAAATAAACTTACATTGAAGCACTTTTGAATAGACTCTCGATGTCTATATGTTGCTCTTTTAAATAATTTTATTATTACTTTACATTTTTAAGTTTAAGTGTGTGAATACAAACCACCAATTAACTAATTCAATTAAATACTCAAATAGAAAAAATATTGAATATATCTGGTTAAACAATTAATAAGAGGAAATCAGTCATAGTGATTCAAGTGCAGTAGTAAGCACGATACTGTCTTTCTTGGACTCTCGATTCTATATTGAGTGTCAATAATTAGACTTAAACTTAATATAATATCGTACCATATCAAGTGTCCTACCATTTTTCCTCGTCTATTGTGAGTGTATAAAACTTAATATAATATCGTTTGTAGGTGCTAGCGATAGCACGTGCGTATACAGCGGCGCTGGGCGGGAACGCTCTCACATCGTTCTATATCACGCAACTCATGTTGCAAGACAACGCACACAAAAATCAGGTAAACTTCTAAAATAAAACATATCCTAATCCTAACAATATTATAGACGCAAACGTTTGTAATTATGGATGGATGTTTGTTACTCTTTCATGCAAAAATTACTGAACGAATTTTGATGAAACTTTATAGTAATATAGTTTATATATCAGATAACATAAGCTATAATTTAAAAAGATATATGTAAAAAAATAATATATATGTTATGTAAGTGTGATGCACGCGAAGTTGCGGCGGTCAACTAGTATAAAATATACATATAATTATTAACAATATTATATATTATTAACAATCCCCTTTTGCTTCCTGGTGTATTTGTCACGATGGGTCAACTGACGTGACTTCATCAACTTATCATCCTCCACTGATGCCCCGCCAGCGAAAACCGTTAGAGCAGGCGGGTGCACCATTCTCATCACTTAAACCTGCCTTGGAGTTTTACAAATATTTCAAAACCAAAATTAGCCACATCGGTCCAGTTTTTCTCGAGTTTTAGCAAGATTGAGAAACGTCATTTCGTTTTTATATATATGTTTAATATATATGTCATTTTCAGGGTCAATGTCTACTATCGGTGGGTGGAGATGTGGTGCATATAACGTATTAAGTTAATATCCAAGTAATGCATATCAAATTTGAATGGTGCAACCTACACTATGAAAATATCAAAGAAATATATTGATAATGTCAAAGTACAGTCACCTCTAAAAATATGACACATTTTGGTATTATATATTCTGTGTATAATATGTATGTACTTACAATATACATGTATATGTATCAGTTATCTAGTACCCATAACACAAGCTTTAGCTAGCTAAACTTGGGTCTAGATAGCACTGTGTAAATTGTCCTGAGATTATTATTATGTGATATGTATAGTAACTAAAATATCCTATACACAATTTTATATAAAAAATATTTATTGACGTTTTGAAAATCATAATTATAGAGGTAACATTAATATCAACCATTTGTCATACATAAACAAATATGCAATTTTTAATGTCATAATGACCTGCCAAAAAAGTGTATAGTTTATATTTCGTTCATACCAAATGTTTGTCTGATATTATAGAAAAAAAGTAACAAAACCAAAACTATCATCATCTGCTTCTTCCTTATCCCATTTATTTGGGGTCGGCGTAATATGTTTTTCTCTTCCATTCATCCCTAAAGCCAAAACCATTCTCTCGTAATATGAATTTGAGTGAACGAACTGATAAAAAAATAAAAGCTTGAGAGAAAACAATAAGTTAATTATTTTAAGAAATAGCACAAATTTTACAGCTACATATTTTATTGTTAGAAACTTAGCACTTGTTATTGTTTGACATCTTTAATATTTAAATGTAAATGAAATCAAATAACTCATGCAGGTATTAAGGCTAATGGATAGTACTTAAATTGTGATTACTTTTTTAAATGTACTTGCAAAACCAAACCAATATTGAATTTTTCCTTAAATGTAATGTAGTCTATTGTCCTCAGCAAACCATTGTATATAGTGTAGCGAAAAACAAAAATTATATGTACTATTTATATTGTTAACCGGCTTTTAACGCAATTAATTTTATAGTAAATAAAGGTAATTCTTTACCATACCTCTGTCGGCGTTTCGATTAGGTTGCACTGTACCTTTATTTACCGTAAAATTATTCGTGTTAAAACCCGGTTAATAATATAAATAATGTAAGTTAAACACGAAAGTTGAAAAACAAAAATAACATAACTCTTTTTAGCATAATTACAAAGTTATTGTTGTCTTTAGATGTATAAATAATTATATATTTAAATGAATGTGTTGCTTAATATCGCAGCTGACTGTACTATGCTATGTCATTATTGATAGTAACGAGAGACTGTCGAATTATTTATGAATAAGTAAATGTAATTTTCTGAGTGTTTATTGTAATTATGGATAATAAAAAGGGCTCCTCAACACTGATCACGAGTGATGCAACACCATAATCATCATTTATATCATCATCGTCATCATAATATCATTGCCATCATAAAAGTAGTTTTTTTCATGTTGTCGAGTTTTCTGTTGACTAAATATATCAGTTTGATTTTATATTATAGGGAAAGGATACGATACGATGATTTACTAAAAATGAACAAAAAATTCCTAAATTAATAAAGAAATAATAAAAATTACACAATCATTATTTTATCATCACCATTAACACCACCCAGTCCCGTACTTAATTTTTGCCAAAGTGATTAAAATCTCAAAATAAATTGATTGATTTCGATTTTATTAATAGAGCCAAGGAAATTTAACATCAGAAAAAATGTTGCTCTTTTAAAAATGTTATTCTAAGTAAATACAAGGATTAGATGTGCGACAATCAACATCAAAATCGCTGCGCACGCAATCTTTGTATCGTAACGATGCGCAGGAGTCCCTTTTTCTCATCCGTAACGTAAATTGTTATATTAATCTAGTTTCTAAATTGTTATACCGTTTTTGTTATTAAGTTTATGTAGTAAGTATCGGATCATAGATTAAAAAGTTTTTTTATCTATGGTAACTTTTTGGTTCTGTGGTTTCAATATATACTCTATGGGGACCGAGTTGTGGCGGTATGATTTAATATTAATACATACTCATGAAGATATGGTACTTAATTGTTTAAAAAAATAGTCTAATTAAAAAAATATATTAGCTTTGAATTTAATATATTTTCAAAGACTGTAGTTTTAAAGCTAGTAAGAACACCATGGGCGTACCACGTACCACGGTGGGGCTCGGAACTGTAAGGTACCTAACCGCGTCTTAAAAAAGGTCGAGCACGATAAATCTATGTAGGTCACAGTGCTGCAGGTCTTAATTCTATTTCGTATAGGTAGGTGAGCAATATGAAAGTGTTTTGAATAATTCAAATTATACGTACAAATACAGGCTGCTCTCCGTTTTGAATAATTCGTATGATACGTGCAGATACAGGGTGCTATAGGGTGGAACCGTTTTTCTGAAAATTAATCGTGGTAAGGTATAGTTTGCTAGTTATATAACATTTTAAACTCCTGTCCCACCCTGAGCTAATGACTGGCTACGTCCAAGAATAACATACCTTTGACATGAAAATACTTAAAAAAAAGAACGAAATAATAACTAAAACATGACAAATGTAGGATTATTTTTTTTTTATAGCTCAATAAATGTATATCTGTTTAGTTTGACCACAACCGTTAACTAAAACGGCCAATCAATGAGATTTGATGGCCTCGGTGGTAGCAGTTTAGCTCACCGCCTTACTTTCGATGGTCGCAGTTTCGACCCCTCGTACGATACAAACGTCTGGGTGTTTTCTATGTATATTATGTATCTATGTACTTGTATCAGTTGTCTAGTACCCATAACACAATACTCTACTTAGCTTGGGACTAGATGGCGCTGTGTGAATTGCCCTAAGATATTATTATTATTAAACAGTTTTTTTACATATACTTTCTCTATATTTGTATGTAAACTTGCAGTCGTGCCAAAGTTTCTTGTAATTTATTTTGATTATTACATTAGATATTCATATAGATACATTACATATTCAATAAGGAATTTTATCATGTATTTACAATTCTAGCTAATTTATATATATAAAAGAAAAGTATTATTTTACTAAAATTAGCTAAAATGTAAACTGTCATTTTTGCTATGTTACTCACTTTAGTATATTCGACAAAAGTTTTAATTCTGTCAAAAGTAGTCGTAATAAATAATACATTTCATTGGTTTTTCTAAAAACAGATTAAACCTGTGTTCCTTAACCTTTTTATGACATTCTACACATTAGTAGTAAACTTGTAACCGTCAACACTAGGATTCCGAAGCTATATCTGACCTCTATTCAATACCTGATGATGCCTCGTCCAGAGGCGATACACCTGTCGCAATATGGGTGTAGACCGAATAATAGTCGAAATTTTTATGACCAATAGAGAAGATAACGCTTCCAGTAGCGGTGGTCAGATTTCCACACTGAATACTTGTGGTCTCACACTTGCTAATTATAGCGGAATTAAACATAATAATATAAATCAATTAAGAAGTATGTACTATCAATTATATTGTTTATACAAGTGCTCTCCCAAAAATGATTAAATTTTATGTATGTATAAATGGATATATGTTTTAAACTTAAGGTTAGGATCTAATTCGTTCGGTAATATAAATATGTATAAAAATAATTATACACCTTACCGTAAATACTCCAATTTTCTTGCCATATTTCAAGTAAGCAATATATTACTTGTTGTTAAATGTTAGACTTACACAACGAGAAATTATAGGATTAGTATTCTGGAATGGCAACGCATGAGTGTTATCACGGGGGTCACGTGATAACGTGATGTAAGTACTGTTTACATACAAACATATGGCAAAATTAGGCCTGTTCTATAAAACAATTTGCAGATTTTGCCAAGCAGAGGAGGAAACGCCACTACACTATATAGTTGTGGCGCACTCGTGCATAAACGAAATATCTCCTTTGGAAAGTATACACTCTATGCTGGTCGCAGTGCTATAGGTCTGACAATTGCCCTAAAAAACTTAATTAATAAAAAAAAAAGTGCTGTTTATGTATATACATAAATCGCCTATATAGGCAACGGTTACCACTTACCATCACGTGATCCATCGGCTTGTTTGCCGTTCTAATTATAAAAAAAATATATTAATTAGTTTAATTATATTAAATTACTGATTGAGCTTATCGGTACAATTTTCAACTAGAATTTAGTGTTTAAAATTTTAAAAACTTTAAAATTATAATATGTATGATGTTAATAGTGAAGTAATATTAATTAATAGATAATATAGCACATGCTTAATATGAAAAATGCATAAAAAAAGTTTGGAAAATAATTTTTATTGTCTTAAATTTAATGTTTACTTTGTACATGTTCTTTATTATTAAGCCTGAGAATTAACGAGTGTGCTATAGCTGTCTCTTTTTATATACTATTGCAAGCACAAAATATATATATATAACTATTTGATTTTGAAACATTTTTTTTACTCATAATATACATTTATTTATTTATATCATCTGGTAACGATGTACATTGGAAGAAATATGTTTGATGATGAATTCAGAGCATTGATCGTTGCTTAGTCTTCAGGTTCAGGACTTAGAGGCGGGGAGGTTCTGAGTGTAGTTCGACCTGATATATACCAATCAATTAACTATCCTCCCCATTACATATTGGTTAGTGTATACGGTGCTATATGATTTATACCTAAGTGATTAGCTCTTCTCAATATTTAAAGCTAGAGTTTGTCTTTTGATTTGAATTAGATATTTAGCTTTCTTATTGAAATAAGACTAATGAATCTATGCAGTGCAACGGCTAAAATCAATATAAATATTACAAAGAGGTAAAGTTTGTGAGGTTGTATTTCTCTTGATCTACTGAATCAATTTTGAAAATTCTTTCACAAATACATAGGTAAGTTATCTATGAGTGTCGTAGACTATGTAACACCACGCTACGACCAATAGGAGCGGAACTGCTAGGTAAAATGTTGCATAAACGGTGAAAATTGAAGAGCAGAACTTGCATGGATCAGCTCGTTGCTTTATAAGACATTTAATAGTTTTATAAATAAAAAGGTATGTTTATAGTATTCAAAGTTTTTATCATCAATAAACTAATTCAACTATAATTACACAAATGACCTTCAATTGTTTTATAAAGAGATTTATCGCATTCAAGTTTATGGGCTGGATCTGGATTATCTTTATATATATTTAAATAAAATATCAAAGCAAACGTTTATCTAATTTAATTTTATATGAGACAAGTTTACAATATATTTATGTACGTATACAGCCATAAGTTTTCTACTAGCAACACTACAAGTTTCTTAGTTCAATATTTTAGTTTAAAACTTAGGCTTTGCCTGATATAATTGTATGACTATTTATTTATAAATTACTGTACTTTTTGAATCGTTTGTTAATTATTCTATATAGGATTTACTTCCACTTTATAAAGTATTATAATTAAATGTTTCTAAATCTTCATGTATTTTTACTCTACCATATGAATGTTCTACAATGTACGCTCTAGTTTTTGGATTGTAATATGTAATATATATAATATATGTACATATATGTGATTAAAAATGGCACTGTATTTACAAATTTTTCTTATCATTTACAGTAAGCTCTACCTGCCATGTTTGATTCAAATATACTCAGCGAAAGCGTGTGCTAATTATTGTGTGAACTGCAACGACGCCAGTTTATAATGCTTATGACTATCTCATAAGTGATTTCAGTCGTGACTATATAAAAAATGAAGGTTTTTCAGTCTATAGGTGAAATTTATAAGTCATTGACAATTTTATTCATCTGGATAAGATAATTATTGTTTGGCGTTTTATATTTATTACTTATCATATATTTAAAAAATCTTTTTAAGTATAGGAACCTATAAATAATTTTTCAGCAATGATTTATAGTTATTGCCTACTAATTCTATTGAGTTTGCGACTAGGTGGCGCTGTTTATACGAAAGTAACGTGTTTGATAAATCTAGTCAAGTCATTTAATCGCTGTCTGACAAAATAAACTTATATATATATAACTAATTGATTCTTTTCTTACTATAAGGGTAACGTGTCATTTTTAATCTGTTTTTGTAGAAATTTGGATGTTTTTATGTATTTTATCTATGTACCTATACATGTGTGTTATTATACTGTAGCAAATAAATATCTGTGTTTTATTTGTCCTAATATAATAGAGCATAATTCACACAAATTATCTATACATCTATACATACAAATAAAATTGAAGTGTCTGTAATATTGAAATTACCGTTTTTTACTATATACATATGAATGTAAATACGGTACATAGGTACAGCAATAAAAAATTTTTTCATTTTTTTCTGTCAGTCTGTCTGTTTGTTCCGGCTAATCTCTGAAATGGCTGGACCGATTTAGACGGGACTTTTTTTTGGCAGGTAGCTGATGTAATAAGGAGTAACTTAGGCTACTTGTATTTTAGAAACATTCTTTAATTTTAGAAAAATAAAGTTATTCCACAAGGACGAAGTCGCGGGAACAGTTAGTAGTGTAATAAATTAGAAATCACACAAATATAATTATGTAATATACATTGGGTACTTATGGTCATAGAAGATCTGTAATTTTTTCTACAAAAATATCCTATTTTTATGTTTCCAATGAAATACTTTTTGTGTTTCCAATGAAATACGTCTATGCGCTGCAAGGAACTCCCAAGGTTCCCCAACTCGCTAATTCCAAGCTAAGAGACAAATAAACGCCTTCCATTCTCTCTTAAAAGCAATAAGGACCAGGCCGTTGGAGCTGTTATCTTTACCCATCCACAAAGCCTATCATTAACATATAAATAATAATAATCTCAAGACAATTCACACAGCGCCATCTAGACCCAAGTTAAACTAGCTAAAGCTTGTGTTAGATAACAGATACAAATACATATTATGGGTACTAGATAACTGTTACAAATACATAGATATTCTTTTTTCGTAAATCAAACATATTATACATAGAAAACACCTAGACCGAATACAATTGTTTGTGCCGTGCGAGGAATCGAACCCGCGACCATAGGACGTAAAGCGTTGTGCTAAACCGCTACAACATCGAGGTCGTCATCGTAATAATGTAACATAATATATTTAAAGTGGCTACTCATCGTCAACTTTACAAAACTATCTCAAGAGCTACCAAAGAGAAATCACATACTCCCAGTACCTATGCAACCGTTATTAATTTCAACTAAGTAATTTTATAGCTTACTTAACAATATCTGAAACTTGGTGAATTGATCGCTAACTTTGTAAATTAATGCCTCAATTTATTGGCTACCAAGTATCGCATATCATACCAGTATATATTATGGACATGCGAAAGGTATGCAACGCATGTGAGCCATTTCAGTTATATATATAATTTTATTAAAATATGCAATAAATTATAATAAATAATGTAACATCTACGAATACCGATAAACCGCGCTAAGATAAAAATTAAATGCGGGACAGTACAAAGATTTCTGATTATAGATGCATACATATATATATATATATATATATATATATAATGGCATTCGGTAATCTTATACTTTAACACACCTACCGATGGTACGGTTACATTCTCGGACAGTACAAAGATTACATTCATGACCATCACTCTTTAAATTAGTTTAAGTATTTATTAATTGTATACAGAGCTTGTCTCTGCTTAACCTGGGACTAGATGGCGCTGTGTGTGTGTTTTTTTATGGATCATAATGGAATGGTTTACCCGCCTGCGGTAACGGTTTACGCTGGCGGGGCACCAATGGATGATAAGATGATCATGAGGTCAGGTCAGTTAGCTCATCGTGGCAAATTCACTAAGAATTTATCACCAGGGAAAACGCGTGCAGGTCAACCTGACATTGAGATGGTACATTGCTAGCAATTGTGTTAATGTTATTGTTAATGGTGTTGTTGCTTAATATAAAAATCGTTTATTAGGTACAAGTTTTAGGTCAACCAGGGGGAATTCAAAACAGGCTTCAAGTGTAAAATTAATTCAACTGACTTAAAAAAAAATCTATTTAAATATATCTATTAGTATAATTGTAATTATTGTAATATATTAGCGAAATGTTGTTAAGAAATAAAAATCCGTGAGCTTGTCATAAATATGTATTTATTTAAAACATTACAATAGTCTTATATTTATAAAATGAAATGCCACAAAATGTTGACAACAAGATTATTAATTACACCTTATATCTATAATACTTTCAGCAATAAGTACATTCCTCATAAATGTAGACTAAACAATGTTAACTATTAAATTTGGAGAGAGAGGTTTACAATTTCATATCGCAGTGTACCGGATATCCTACACTCAGACATTTAAAACAACACCGAGCTTACCTAAGAAAGGAACTTTAAATTTTTTTTTGGACGAAGTAAAACTTAATTTATTTCACATTATAAAACAAAACGAAAAGCAAATTGCGCAAATGTATTCAAGCCACGTCGCTGCGTTTCGGTTGCGGTTTCGTTGCGTGTACGCGGCGGGCGCGCAGCGGTTGAGGGACGCGTCAGCGCCGGCGACCGAAACGGAGGAACGAGTGTACGACGTCCTGTCTCTTCATACCGGTGTCGAGCAGCTGTGGGTAATCGCGGACTAGAGCTGGAAAACATAAATATTATTGTATAGGCTTTCGTTTAGTCCATATCAACCTTGTAAGAAATTAGAATTAAAATAATAGTTCTGACATTCTAAATTAAAAGGCGACAACTAGTTTTAATAATTACAACATTCACCTTGGTATTCAGGGACCTGTTCCCCTGCAGCCTCAGCATACAACTCGAGGAAGGTGTTAAGAGCTTGGCAGAACCGTGCCGCGCGTGGGTCGCCCTCCGCTGCGTCCGCACAAAGCGGCGCAGGCGCTGACAGCGCACCCAACACGCACCACGACACTACCAGGCATACTACCGCCACACGTGATGAGTCTCTGTTGACAAGAAAAACCGACGCGTGAGAGAACCGACCGATATTGTATGAGCAACGTGTTAGACATTTTTTTTATGGGTGATAATGGAATAATCTACCTTGGTATGGTACTCTTTACGAACACGCAGAGAAAGAATATTAGACATCGACACAACATTGTTACCGTAAGCACAACCTTCTACTACCTATATCTTGTCATTCTATAAAACAAAGTCTGTTCGAGAATATCTTTTAAATTACCCAACAGATTTTAATGCACTTTTCATCAATAGGTAGAGTGATTCAAGAGGAAGGTTTATATGCGTATTATAGTATAGAACAAACCGAGAAATTTAAAGATTTGTAATGTCCCTGCCAAACCAAAATGGGTCGCTAGATTAGTAATAAATAGAATTTCAAATAAGTACCACCAACTGGTATGTACTGCTGTAACTAGGTATACTCGTATCTGGAGTTACCTTATGTATTCAGCTGTTAAATGTAGGTACTTTACTAACTAAACGATTATTTAAATGAACGTGCATGGCAGTTGTTGCAAATACAATTTAACTACAATTAATGTTTTAGATAATTATTACTCTTAGAAAAAATGCAATCTGAATATATATAAATTGACTTATATGTTTTTTCACGTTATCTAGCGACACATTCGGCTTTAGAATAAGTATACGTCACAGCAGTAGTTAACCATGTACGAGATTGTCGTTTAATGTATGACACACCTAAATAAGTAAATAATGTTGACAAAAAAATACAAATTGAGTTTATTGTTAATAAACGAGCAGTATAAATTGATAAGGACTTTCTCAATTCTTACCTACTGATTATTTATGATAAGCACTAATACTGATAATTGAATAAGATTGATTTTTGCGTAATATTTTTGAGATCAAGGAAACACGTCTACTCTGTAATGAATTTATTTGGAACTAACAGGCACTCTAGACTAAACTGGACGGTATGGAAAAAACATATCAATATAAAAAATATCCTACAGGAATAAATTATTTTTGATTCGATTTAGAATCAACGTTATAAAGTATATCATAAACCCTATTCCGTAAATTATCTGTAATTTTGAAAAAACATTACAAAAATAAGTTCCAATAACAAAGACGTAAATCCTTTTATTAAGTATTTCTTAAAGAAAATAAATAACAGCATGATATTAAACGTCGCTATGTTTTTATTCGATGCCGCGGAAAAAGCCACTGGTGCGGTCAAAATTTAGGTTAAGAGGAAATAAAACTTCCTCCGCTCAGTGGACCTTACGGGAATATAGACAAAATGTACTTTTCTTTTACAACTACGACGGTAATCAGCCATAGAGATGATGTACTATAAGCATATATACCATTAGATGTAAGATGGCAGTTCTTACAGAGGTATAGAATTTGTGTCACTAGATGACCAGACCTCTATATCACCTCTTTTAGCCGCCAACCAGTTTTGTAAGACGTGTTTCAGTTGAAGAGTGCTATTAATAATAATATAAACTACCAAAAGCGGTGAAAATGAAGCATATCGATAATAATAATCATCATTTATTAGGTATTATCGATTAGGCAGTGAAATTATAGATAGAGCAAGGAGGCATGACATCTATATCCGGGGGGAAAGAGGATTGTTAGTAATGTGGACTAATGACCCCATTGCAGGCAATGTACCATGTCAGGTCAAACTACGTTTATAATATTATGAATGTTATTAACTTGTTATATGTTTGCTGTGATTCTTTTATATGCGAACCGCGTGGAGGTACCACGCGGTTCTCCCTGAAAACCGTAGTAAGAAAAGAGAACGAAAAATATCTAGCGCATATAAAACAATCACAGCAAACATATACCAATTTAATAACATTCATAATATTATAAACGTAGTTTTATAATTAATTATTTAAGAAATACAGCTGCGACTAAATATTTACTAGCGGTAAAGCTTTGTGTCCAGACTGTAATGCCCAAATGCTGATTTTCAGTGTAACCAGTGGGAGTAGTAGTGATAAATTGCTGGTGAGTTTTTCACGATGTACTAACTGACCGGACCTTATGTTCCTCCTAGCATTCTCCACCACCAGTGTATAGATACCGTTAGAGCCTGCGAGAGGATGGTGCTCTGTCGGTGCTATGTCATGTACACATTAACATCCATTAAAAAAAACATTTAAATTCTCATGAAACGCCTGAAATGCCTCCGGCAACGCTTATGTTCCGAGCATCACATAATAGATGCTATTTATCTATACAGACGGTTGTTTTTTATTGATATTGTATCTACATAAAAAAGGAATATTTTTCTACACTAAAAAGATTTTATTCCGAGCGAAGCAAGGATGGTCGCTAGTATGTAATAAGTACTTTGGAGTTCAGTCACAACCTAGTACTTAATAGCTTTCGTGAATTGTCCAGGATCATTATTATTATTTACTTAAATTGTTTAGCAATTTGAGAGGAGTAAGAATAACAAAAAACAAATTAGAGGGTCACAAAAAAACCGTGTCGCCGCGGTGCTCAACTTGAAGAGGGTCCAAAGCATTTTAATTGACCCACTTCCATTACATCTGGATAATGTTCACAAAGACATTCTGTGACACAGTTTACAATTAATTAATCAAATACATCTGTATATTTACATGAATGTCAGGACTAAATTTTAATTTAAATATATATTTATATAAGCTGGCTGTGCCCGCGATTTCACCCTCGTTAAATTTATTTTGATGCATAAGCTATATTACTGTAAAGTTTCATCAAAATCCGTTCAGTAGTTTTTGCGTGAAAGAGTAACAAACATCCTTGGGGGGAAGGGGATTTTTAGTAATGTGGATTGATAACCCCATTGCTAGCAATGTACCATGTCAGGTCGACCTCCACGCGGTTCCCCCTGAAAACCATCGTGATAAATTCCTGGTGAATTTGTCACGATGGGCTAACTGACCTGACCTCATGCTCATCTTATCATCCTCCACTGGTGCCCCGTCAGCGTAAACCGTTAGCGCAGGCGGGTGCTCCATTCTATTATCAACCCTCAAAAAAAAAAAAAGTAACAAACATCCATACTTTCAAACTTTCGCATTTATGACAATATTAAGATATACTTATTCAACAAAATGTAGATATGTCAAATGTTATGCTACAGTACAAACAGATACAACTATGAATGAATATAAATAATAATAATCTCAGGACAATTCACACAGCGCCATCTAGACCCAAGTTAAGCTAGCTAAAGCTTGTGTTATGGGTACTAGATAACTGATACAAATACATAGATATTTTTTTTTTTTTTGTAAATACATACATATTATATATAGAAAACACCCAGACCGATACAAACAATCATACTCATGAATACAAATGTTTGTGCCGTGCGAGGAATCGAACCCGCGACCATCGGTCGTAAAGCGGTGTACTAGACCGCTGGACCACCGTGGTCGTCAAATGGTTGTATTTGATTGAAATCGAACCAATGTAGTTTACAAAACACCTAAACCACCGAATTTGTAAACAAATTTTTGTCTTATTTACCCTTTATTATCACTTAAATAAAATGAAAAAAAGAAGCATTATGTTGTCTGTGGAATAAATATGTTTTACTCGTATCCAGTAAGCAAATAATCACTACGTCTTCTCTTACATAGAGTTAGTATTGCCTGGCACTAGATAACATCGTCTACCGTCTCTTTGGTACTCGCATTACTTCACTAACAATGTTAAAGTAACGTACACAAAGGTATATGTTATTCTACTTTGATTCGCATTATGTGATATCTTATGTATTATTCTAGAGCGAAAATACAATCTTTTCACCATTTCTTTTCATTCCCAACATTTTCTAAATAATAAAGATGGAATACAGTCATTTCTTCTTAGCTAGCACTCCGAACTGACAGTAGAATTGACATACCATAAAAGTCTGTAATGGTCCTATATGAATAGAGATATTTTGTATTGATTTGATTTGATTACAACACAAATTAAATCAAAGATGAGAAACGAAATAAGTATTAAATAAATATTAATACAAACTTTGCGAGAGTCATATTTACACTAGGATAAATCTTCTTTAAAGATAGAAGATTCATAAAGATGAAAGAGGCTTCTGTTTACACATATCATTCCTAAAATAATTGGAGACGGCATTTTAAACGTGGAATGGAGTATGCCGTATGGCTAAACAATGTTTGCCGGATCAGCTAGTAAAGTATCTACACTAATATTATAAAGCTGAAGAGTTTGTTTGTTTGATCGTGCTAATTTCAGGAACTGTTGGTTCGAATTGAAAAAATCATTCTCCGTTGGATAGTCCATTTGATGAGGAAGGCTTTAAGCTATATAACAATACGCTACGATCAATAGGAGCGGAGCTACAATGAAAACTATTGCAAAAGGTGGGGAATGAAACGCAGTCGAGGTTGCGTGGGTCAGCTAGTATGATAATACAATGAGAAACTACTAACGAGTACGAACTAGTTGGTAATATTAGACAAATTATTTATCTGTGACTACACATGCCGCTAGAACACAAAGTATAATATCGGATTTACATATATATTTCATTATAACACTTGGTATATGCTACCCTAACGCCTACGTAACAGAAAATATAAAAAGCAATAAGTATCGCATTACACGATTGTGGATTTCCAATAAATACCCTTTAGTGATAGCCCCAAATTCCAATGAGTATTGTTTTTATTGTGGCTTAGAAATCCGAGATACTTATTACCATACACAGTACATATATTTACGATTCGGCATGTATATACATATCTTATATATAAAATTCTCGTGTCACAGTTTTCGTTCCTATACTCCTCCGAAACGGCTTGACCGATTCTCATGAAATTTTGTGAGCGTATTGAGTAGGTCTGAGAATCGGCCAACATCTATTTTTCATCCCCCTAAATGCTAGGGGTAGTCCACCCCTAAATTTTTTTTTATTTTAAGGCAAAACAACGTTTGCTGGGACAGCTAGTATATATATATACTAGCTATGCCC